TCTATTTGAGATAGCGGGAGGCATTATGGTAACCATTGTTGATCACCTTGTATTATGTTTTTACATTATCTATTATGTCCACCCTTTTGATTTGACCACCTCTATTCTGTCACATTTGGTTTTACTCTCTTCCAAAAAAGTAATAAGAACGGTGGGAGTAATAAAACCCAAAATGTGTAACAGTCATTGTACAAAAGAGAGGAAAAGAAAGTGCTCTAAACGATATAACTGCAAGTATATTTAAGTGTATAAGATAGATAACCATATTACTGAGTTTTGTTGGGTCATTGAACAGAACTGTTTGCAGTCTCACCGTTTGAATGTCCACTTTATATGCTTTAATTTTGTAACTTGAACAAGTATTTCTAAGATGACAATATGTAATCCAGTAACTAGTGATTTCCTACTGTTTTTTTTCTGAAATTTTGTATAACTTGTACCCTTTTTCTGCTTTTTTTTTTGTTTTTTTTCTTTTTCTCCTTAAATAAACCTAAAAAAAAAAAAAAAAAAAAAAAGAATAGCAAGGGAGGGAGGGGGCCAGCGAGAAGAAAAGAATGAGCGAAAGTACCGGGTTGAGCTCGGGGGCAGAGTGCTGTCCGAGGCCCTGCAGTCAACCAGGATGCAAAAATAAACAAAGGCACAGTGGGTGGGATCGAGTGGACCACAGGGATGGTTGGCTGTTAGCGGTGGCTCCTCCAGGGCTGCACTTCTGACAGGCTGGGACGCGGTGTTTCTTAGTTTTGTTTTGCTTTTATTTTTAGATTGGCGTTTTCTGTTTGTCTCCTGTTTTCTTCTTTTTGTTGTGTTTCTTCCCTTTTTCTCTTCCTTTCGTCTCCTCCCCTCCCTCCTCTCCCCCCTCCCCTCCCCCTCCCCTCCTCTCCCCCTCCCTCTCTCTCTCCTTGCTCTTCTGTGCCACGGTGTTTGCACTGAGACTCATCCCCAGCGCTTTCTTATGCTTTAGTTTGAAAGGGAATTTAACTAAGTTCTTCAGGCTGGCTTCGAGCTTTCAATCCTCCTGCCTCAGCCTCCAGGGGTTCTAGGCTTGTTCCAGGTGTGCGCTGCCACGCCTGGCTTGGCTCCTCCGTTTTTCCTTTTTCCCTCTCCTGCTTTAAGTCGCGGAATATTTATCTGTTTATTTCTGGGTGCGGGAGACAGAATGGGAAGGGTGGTCTGGTGCACCCTGGGCCATGTGATCGTGGCCCCGCCCTGCCCGTGGGCGGGGCTCCGGGCCTTTGCAGCTCCAGTGTGTCTGGAAACCTCACTACCCCAGGTCCCTCTCCACTCCCACCGCGGCCTTGGCCCTAGTCCTGGGGCCCACACACCCTCCGGTAGCTAGTCTGCCTTGACGCCTGGAGACCCTCACAGGAACCTCCGCCCCTCCTGGAGGGCAGCTTGGGGACAGATGCCTGCCCTGGGAGTAGAGAGGAGGAAGTCGGACAGGCCTCCCAGCTCCAGGGCGCCCCGCCCCACTGCCCCAGGAGGGGGCGGGGCCCCACCCCGCCCCACCCCCCTGCAATATCGTTCTCAGCTGGATGGGCTGGGGCTCGCTTGTGCCCCGGGGTGGGGGTTAAGGGCGTCCTGGGTCAGCACCTTGAGGGCACAGTGTGAATCGGACACGCAGTCCGCTGGTGACCTAATGTCAGGGGTCTCCTCCGCTCACTGGCCCTCATCCTACCCTAGCACCGTCCTCTCCTTTCCGGCCTTTCTTTCTTCTGGTATTGAGGACTGAACTCAAGGTCTTCACACTGAGCTGCATACCCAGTTTACTAAATCACCAGTTGGAACCCAGGCTGGGTTCCAACTCGAGATGCTCCTGTCTCAGCTTCCCAGAGTACAGGGATCATAGGGTTGCACCACTGTGCTTTTTTAAAAAAATAAAATATTTAGAGACCACAGAAAGTGTGAAATTGTCACTAAGTAACACTTAGTCACCACCTTTTTTAAAAATCACATCTTAACATTTTATCTATGACTTTTTATTCTTGTTTTTGATAGGAGGACCAAACTCACGACCTCGTGATTGCCAGGCAGGCACTGGTGCTGCTGAGCTAAACCCCAGCCCTAGAGCTTTTTCTTCTTCCCCATTTGCTTGAACACGAGTTTGTGTTTGCTGTCAAATGCTCTGTTGGGGACAAAAGCCCGGCCTCTCTTCTTCCCTTTAACAAACAGAATCTTCCAGTGGAAGACAGAAGCCCTCAGCCTTCTCCGTGGGTGCCACCTCTCTGACTCAGGGGCCTGCAACGCGGCCCTGCGGCCTCCATCTCTAGGTCGGGTTTACCACCCCCCCCCCCCCCCCGCGCTGGCCGCGCCCCTGTGCAGGTCTCTTCCGGAGCCCGCAGGCCTCGACTTTTACCTTTTACCCGCTGCAGACACCAGATACAGCCGCAAGACGGCTCTGCAGAGGAGGTGGGGGAGGGGAGAGGTGAGGAGAGGGCGGGCTGGGGTAGGGGAGGCCCTTCCTGGCTTCCGGCTCCCGGGCTCTGTGTGCGGCTCCACTGTCCTGCGGTCTGTACCGCAGGCGCGCTCTGGGCTCTGATTTGGTCCTCCTGGTCCGCAGCGGTACTGCCCCTTTTCTTACGTACTTGCTGGCTACCGTTTTCTTTTAGGAACTGTGGAATCAGCTCGTTTGCACGTTTTCACTCAGATTTTTTCCTGTGCAACTTACAGCTTGCTTTTTTTGTTGTTGTTGTTGCTTTGTTTCTTTTTCTTTTTCTTTCTTTTTTTTTTTTTGAGACAGGATCTCACTGTGAATTTCAGGCCAGCCTTGAACTCACTTTGTAGCCCAGGCTGGCCTTGGACTCACAGCAATCCTCCTGCCTCAGCCTCCCAAGTACTGAAATTACAGGTGTGTGTTACCATGCCTGGTTTTTTTTGAGAGAGGGTCTTGCCGTGGAGTCCAGTCTAATTTGCAGTGATCTTTCTGCCTCAGCCTTCCAAGTGGAGGGATTTCAGGAAGTGCCACCACACCCAGCTTGTCCTTTATACTTTTTTTCTTTTCAATTTTGATAAACTATGAACAACATAACATTTGCCATTTTTGCACTTAACTGTTCAGCTCAAGGGCAGTAAGGACTGTCACCATTGCTGAGAATGTCACCCTGGTGCCCTACAGATCTCCTTCATCTTGCAAAACCAAAGCTCCACCCGCCTGAACAATTTACACTTCCTCTGAAAGTATTTTTACACATTTTTGCAACCAAAAATTTCCCACATATATAGAAGTAGGGAGGGTGGCGTAATGGGCCTGAGTCCCCAGCGCCAGCTCTAAGCGGCCCCTTCCGGGGAGCCTTTCTTATCCGCCCGCCCCCACTGCCGTATGGTGCCAGCGGCAACCTGGGGGCACAAGGGCTGTTTGTCACAGCTGTGAAACATTTCCACACCCGAGAAATGGGTGTACTGTTGTCACTGTGTCACCACAGTCGTGCACTGTGACTGGCCGTGTGCCCCAGACCCCTGCGATTTGCAGCTCCCCTCTGTGGCTCCCTCACACCCTCCCCCTTCTCTGCACTCTGCAGTCCCCACTCCTGGGGACCTTGCCAGCTGTGTCCCACTGCGTCCTGTCTCTGTGACCTGGTGGCTGATCTGAGCTGGGTTGGCAGTGACGGTCACTGTTCCTGCTTTAGCCACGCTGTCGTCAGGCCTGCTCCATCACAGCTGGGCCAGATGCCTGGCGTGTCCTGGGCTGTCACCATTTGGCCCCTTGGCTCACCCGTGGGTGTATCTGGTGACCTCATCTGTTCTTTCTTCTAGAACTCTCTCAAAGGAACACTGCATTTTTTTTTTTTTTTTGTCTTTTTCTTTTTTATCGTTACGGGATCGAACTCACGACTACCTACTTGCAAGGCAGGTGCTTATGCCGCTGAGCTAAATCCCCAGCCCCTGGAGCACTGCATTTGACAGAGAACGTTTCATTGGAACTTGCTTGGTTGGTTTATTTGTAAGAGTGCACAATAGTAACACACATGCCTGTATCCCAGCACTCAGGAGACTAAGGCAGGATTGTTGTGAGTTCAAGACCAACCTGGGCTACATAGTGAGGCTCTGCCTCAAAAAATGAAAACAAACAAACAAAAAAAATGAAAACAAAACAGTGCAGTAGTTGGCTGACTTGAAGAGTCCTAGAAAGCTGCCTCAGGTGTGGGGATTTCTGGGAGATTTGAAATCTTTCCCAGTGTCGTCTTGTGTTTCTATTTGCATTTCTCCTTTGTTCTTTTCCCCTTGTCTTTCTATCCTATTTTCCTTTCCTCAGGGGGACACATTTTTTTTTTTTTTTTTTTTTTTTTGGTCTTTTTCCTTTTTATCGGTACCGGGGATCGAACTCGTGACTACCCGCTCCTTCAGGCTTTTTAACACCGTTTTTTCAATCAACAGACAGATGGTGGGCTCCGTCTTGCTGGCCAGCTCCTCCCGTGGCCTTGCCATCCCTGGATCACCTGCTTCAGCAGTGCTGCTCTTGCCAGGGCTGGGGGAGGCATCCAGGCCCACAGGGGTTGTCAATCCCGCTTTCTTCTCCGTCCACCTTGCTGACCTCATCCCAGCGTAGCTGGTCCCGGTGAACCTTGCCCTCAGCTCTGCTGCGCGGGTCTCTTCTCCCTTCTCTTGGCACCTGGGCCCCCTCTGCTGCATCCCTGCTGTCCTCCCTCTGGAATTCCTGTGGCCCTGGTCTTTCTCTGTCCCTTGTTAAGTGCTGCCCGAGCAGCTGCTCAGGGCTTGTGGAGGCCTGCATGGCCTTTGCCATCCTCAATCAGGGACTCCCTCCGCCCAGGGCTCCTGGGCACTCCAGGCCACTCTCCAGGACTCTGAAGCCACGGGCCCAGCCCCTGCCCACTGTCCCCAGGGCCCCCACCCCTCCAGGCACTGAGATGCTGTCTCCACAGCTGCCCCTGCCTCTCTGCCTCTCGTGGTGGCTTCTTCCCTGAAATCTGCAGCAGGCAAAGTGTGGAGCACAGTGCGGGGTGGGGGCCTGTGTAGGGGAGCCTGCCGATGTCACCAGTGTCGCTACTTCCTCCCAGGAGCTGAGAACAGGAAACCCAGCCTCCCCGCCGGGCCCCACTGCTCCCCAAGACCGACCGCAGAGCTTCTCTGGCAAGGAGCAGGCAAAGCCAGTGCCTGCCCAGCCCGACGCCCCTGAGGCCTACAGGGACCAAGTGGTGAGTGAGAGTCCTGTGTCCTTTGTATCTCTGAAGGTCACCTCAGGGTGGGCTTTCCTGCTCCCCTGGGAGCTGCACTCCAAGACCCCAGCCCTAGGGGACTGTCCCAGCCAGACCACCCGCCCCCCCCGGGATGGGGACAAGTGGGTGGAGGACACACAAGACCACAAGACCCGTCATCGAGGTGCCCAGCATGCTGTGGGGACAGAGAGCAGCTGCGATGGGGGTGACAGCAGTCAGGAGAGCAGGGGCTGGGTGAGCTCTGGCCCGAGGAGACACGATGTGCCCAGCACCCAGGCCCTTGTACAGAGAGGCTGCGGAGATTCAGGAATGGACAGGAAGCAGAGCAGGAGGATGCCGGTGACCACCTGGCCAGCGGCCAAGAGGCAATTTAAAGACTGGAATTTCAGAAAGGACCCAGCCAGCCCCATGTGCTTGGCCTCCTCCTTAGGAAGTGAGCTTCCTGGGGCCCTGCTGCCGTCCCTGCAGAGCCCATGACTCGAGCACTGGGCCGATTTGTCCAGGGCCACCTGTGGCTACCTGGCTGCAGGGCCTGGGAAGGCAGAGGCCAGGGTCTTCCGCAGTCAGGTTCCAGCCGAGCAGGGGAGCAGTTGGCAGAGGTGCCTGGGACAAGGGCAGGTGTCCCAGGAGGGCGGGGATGGGAGGTGCCAGCTTCCTCTCCCCAACCTCCAAAACTGAAGCTTGGTTGGTATCAACGCAGTAGGTGTGCAGGGGTGGATTGCAGCCGTCTCAGGAGTTTCCTGGGTTGGAAGCTGAATGAAGGATCCTCTGCAGGACTGCCAGAGGCTGCCTGCCATGGAAGGGGAGTCAGCTTGTGGTCAAGAAGGGCTGGGACTTGGTTTCCTCATCTGGGAAGTGGGAAGGGTAGGTTAGCAAACTGTACAAACTCTGGCTATCTCTGTGGTTCAAAGGACACCTGAGCCCCTCCTGGGTCAGCACTGTCCACTCAGGCCCCAGTGTATTCTGCAGGTGACCAGCTGGTGCCCACACTTGGCAGGGCAGCCCTGGTGCTGTGTGAGGGAGCCGTGGTCCTGCCTGCAGCCGTGTGCCTTGCGGACGGCTGGCCCTGTAGAGGGCAGCCCCGGGGCAGTGCCACCTCTGATCTGTGCGCCTGTTTGTCCCTGCGAGCAGATGAAGCAGACACTACCTCTGCATACTGGGGATCCCGTGTGGCTCTCCACAATGCCCTCTCATGAGGCAGCCTTGAGGGAGTGTGTCACTCAGCAGGGCTGGCACCAGGCCTCTCTGTGAGGGGCCAGAGAGGGTCAGGGTCTTCTGCAGCCCTCTGCATCCAGCAGGCTGACCTTCTCCAGCTGGCGGCCTGGCCAGAGACCGTGGGCAGCACTCATGTCCACTCCATCCTCTGCTTGCTATGCCAGCCAGGCTCCTTCAGCCACTTCCACTGAAGTGCCGGTGTCCAGGTACCAGATGACAAGGCCAGGAGGCTGCAGGCAGGGCCCTGCACGCCTCTGTCCCATGCTGTGCAGGTCCAAGCAGACACCTGCAGGACTCCAGAGGTCAGGGTCAGCCTCTCTGTGTGCTGCCAAGGGGAAGGGGACGCGTGGAGGACCTGGCTGCCTTTGTAACCCATAACCACAGAGCAGGAAGCCTCCCTCTCTGGTGCCGGGCTGTCTTACACAGAAGTGGCCAGGGACCTGCAATGATGGGACGAGGCCACCACAGCTGGAGAACAGTCTGCTTTTCTCAGTGGGCAGATTCAAATGCTAATCAGGTCTAAAATTACATTGGACCCTTCTGAAGCTCTCCAGACCTGTGGCAAGCAAATATCAGGGCCCTGTGACCACACCTGGTGATAGATTCGCCTCACTGCACTCTGTCACAGTGGAGGAAATGGAGGCCAGGGTTGAAGAGGGCTGTCCATAGTCCTTGGCAGAGGGGGTCAGGCTGACGGGTTCCATTCCTGGCCCCAGTCCTGGCTAGGTGGTGGCCACGCAGACCCAGGTGCCCAACGGGAAGGGGAGCTGTGTGGTGAGAGGAGGTAGCCTCTCTAGGCCGAGGGTTCTGTGGGTACCCCACCTGCTGTCCCCACCACCCGACTCATTGAAGCTCCTGGCATCCGAGGGGGCCTGGCAGGGCTGGCCTCTGGGTGCTGCTCTAGAAGGTCTGGACCGAGTACAGAGGGTCAGCCCTGCAGTGGCGGCCTGCACATTGGTGGCCATATGGCACCCACCACGTCCACCCAGTGGCATTTGGGGGAGAATGACAGAAACTCATGGCTGTGGAGGTCCCAGAGAGGTAAAGGCCAGGATTCTCCTGCATGGTGAGAAGAACCAGGTATGGAGACCACACTCTGGCCTGAGAGCTGGGTCTCCCAGTTCCTCTGCTGTGTGCCGAGGAGAGGATGAGGACCTTGGTCATCTAGGGAGTCATGGCACTTCCCTAGCGGAAGCCATAGTCAAAGCGGCTCTAACAGGGGCTCTGGCTTCGCAAGCAGCCTCTGCTCTGTCTGGCTTTGTGCCTAGAGTCCTGGTTTATGGCCTGGGGTTGAAGTCTGGAGGCTGGAGGCAATGGGCACCCATACTTGGGAAGCACAGTGGCCCATCAGGGTGGCCACCATCAGGGCGGAGCACTGTGAGGCCCGGCCAGGCTACTATGTGGCCAGAGGACCCTGAACCTCTTGTCTACCCTCCCCTTCCTCCTCTCGGTAGTAGAGACTCTGGGGTGGCCAGATGCCTGCTTGTGCGGGTCCACCACTGTCTATCGTGTGGAGGCCTGTGTGTGCCAGGCACTGGGCATTGTGCAGGCACCGTCACCCGAGCCTGTCCTCCGACAACTGCTCCACAGTCGGTTCCAGTCACACAGGGAGGCTGAGGCAGGTGGCCAGGGCACCTTGCTCCCCGCTCTCTCCCCAACACGGGCACGGCCCTGCTCCTCCTCACCTTCTGGAGCCTGGCACTCCTAGCAGAGCACAAGCGGCCGAGGTATGGCCTGACCCCCAGTTGGCTTCCTGTGGCCAAGACTGGACCCTGTGGTCTGTGGTCAGCCTTGCTGTAACCAAGCCCTGCTCCCTGCACTGAGGTGTACGAGTATGACGAGCCATCCGGCTCTCCCTCCTGCTGCCAGTTGAGACTCAGTTTCCCCATTCACAGACCCAGTGCTTCCACACAGTTGTCACAAGTGCTTTGGCTCTTTTTTTTTGGTTCCAGGGATTGAACTCATAAGCTATGCTTGCCAGGCAGGCGCTTACACTACTGAACTGAGCTATGTACGTCCCTAGCCCTCACGGGTGCTTTGGTAGCAGGGAATTGCAGGCTGTGCCCAGAGGTCCCCGTCTAGAGCCGTGGCTGAATGGCGTGAGCATCCTTGGGGGCTGCTCCCCTCTCTACCCAGAGTGGCCATGGCCTCGGGAAGGGGCAGCTAGACCTCATGCTTCAGTCCATGGGTCCTGGGACCCATGCCAAGGCCCAGGGCAGTGGCAGTGGCATGGGCGCACTTGGGGTCCCCGGAAAGCACAGCAAGGAACTTTGGGGTGCAGAGACAGAGGTGGGGCTGGCCACAGCTGCTTCAGCTTGAGTCCCACACCTTGAGGACTGGGAGAAGTGGGAACCCACGTGAACCCAAACTGCTTCCTTGACCTCTGCTACACCCAGGAAGCTGGACCAGAGTGTGAGTTCTGCTTTCCATGGAAAGGGAAGGAACAGGGTCATGTAGACATCTAGGGTGCTAATTGTAGTCCACTGAGGAGGGGGCCTGGCATCTCTAAAAGGCAGGAGCCCTAATCCTTGGAGCCCTGAGAGTGACTCTCTCCAGGCTGGGCACTGGCTACAGTGCAGCATAGACATGGTCATCAGCAATGAGCCACGGGCCCTGGGCAGTGGTCTGGGGACTCCATCTGTGCCCTTGGCCCCAGGCCCTGAGGTCAGGGGGAGGAGCTGGCACTGCTGCAGAAGGCGCTGCTCTGTTTGGCTGGCACTTCCTGCCTCCTTGGCCTCTCTACCTGCTCACTGACAGCTCCTGGTCACCACAGAGATCCCACCTCTGGGAAGTTGGGTCAGGGGCCATAGCCCACAGTGTCCTAGACACTTCCAGAGGAGGGTGGTGGGCTATGGTCCAGCCCCTGCTGGGCCTCAGTTACTCCCCCTAGGGGCAGTGGGACCCTGGATGGCCGTGGATCAGCTGCTGCTCCTGTGCTGCTGGTCTCTCAGGAAAGGGTGGCACAGATCTGGAGGACATGGTCAGGGTGCCCAGCTGTGGGTAGATTGGCCTGAGCCAGTGAGTGCCACACTGCCCTTCCACCCTGCCCGGGGTGAAGACTCTGGAAGGTCCACGGCCTGCACTTCCTGGAGAGGGCAGGAGAGCCCAGAGGCCAGAGGGTCGCAGGGCAGGGAGAGAGGCCAAGGCAAGCACAGATGGGGGTCCTGGGCCAGCTGGGTCTCAGCTCGCACTGGGGTTGTTCACTGAGGACTTAGGGCTCAGCAAGATGGGGGCCCAATTTTGCATATGTGTGCACATGGGGGCGCCATGTGGTGTTTGTGCACAGTGTGTGTGCTTGTGTGAGCATGTGCTCATGGTGTGTTTGCACATGAGTGCATATGAGTGTGCATGTGTGAGTATGTGTGCTTTGATATGTGTGTGCCTACAGTGTGTTTGCAGGTGTGTGTGTTTGTGGCCTTGTGATATGTATGTGTGTGTGCTCTTGGTGTGTGTGTTCATGTATATGCACACCCATTGTGTATTTGTGTGGGAGTGTACGTGTGTGTGTGTGTGCTTGTGGTGTGTTTGCAGGTATGTGTATGTGTGACCTTGTGGTGCATGTGTATGTGTAGTCTCTCACCCCAACCCCCAGTCCACAGTGGGACCTGGCGTGGGGACTCAGGGTGCCAGCTGTGCCAGGCACCCGTGCCTCATAGTGGGAAGGACAGGAGCCCTACCCAGGATGGGATCCAGGCTACTGCCCTGTCTCCCCAGGACATGCTGGACCAGTGCCTGCTGCTTGCCCTCCTGGGGCTGCTCTGCCTCTCGTCCGGTGAGTGTGGGAGGTGTCCTCACCATATGTGCCACCCCTGTGCCCTCTGCATGCGAGTTCCCAAGGGGCTGGAGCAGTTGCTGGTGCTGGCTTTGGCACCCCAAGCCTGGCCTCCTCCCTGTCCCTGGATTTCCTGCTCCTCCTCCTGTGCTCACCACCCCCATCCCTTTGTCTTACCCACTACTCTGTCCTTAGCTCACTCTCAGGAATGCACCAAGTACAAGGCCAGTACCTGCCAGGACTGCATCCAGTTGGGACCTGGCTGTGCCTGGTGCCAGAAGCCGGTAAGGGCGGCACAGAAGTGTCAAGAACTCTGGGTTCCTCCTGCCTGAGTGTCCTGCCCACCTCTCCAGTGCTAGGAGGTCACAGGAGGGCAGTGTCTTCGGGCAGGATGGCCCAAGGCCCCAATATTATCTGGGGACACAAGGACAGCCCCAAGGCAGAGGAAGGCCTAAAGAGAGCTGTACAGGGCTTGGCAGCTCCACGAAGGGTGGGAAGTGCCCTGCTCCTGAGGACTGTGGCACCAGGAGCCCCAGCTGAGGCTACCTTGCAGCCAGCATACAGAACCATAGCCCTGACAGTTACTGCAAGGGTTTTCATCAAGGGGTCCTCTCTGCAGAGTCTGAGTCCCCAGGTGCCAGCAGCAGGAGGCCTGTGTCCCTGCCGACTCCTGCTGAACCTGACTCTTTACCCCCAGAACTTCACAGGGCCAGGGGAGCCTGACTCCGCCCGCTGCGACACCTGGGGGCAGCTGGTGAGCAAGGGCTGTGCACGTGATGACATCATGGACCCCAAGAGCTTTGCTGAACCCCAGAAGGCCCAAGGAGGGGGCCAGCAGCAGCTGTTCCCACAAAAGGTCAAGCTGTACCTGAGACCAGGTAGGCTTGGTGTGTACTGGAGGAGCAAGTGTCCTCTACATCAGGCTGGAGCTCAGCCCTGCTCCAGGTCATGTGTGCAGGGGCTACATTGAGGCTGTGTGAGCTCCAGGCTGCAGAAAGCTCTCCCCAGCCTGCCCTGGGACCACTGTCCACAGCTTGGTGTTTGGTCTCACTGAGCCTCGGGTTCTGTGTCTTTTAAGAAAGCATGGAAAACCATTTGGAAAACAGTTTTTGTTTTTTTTTTTAGGTACTGGAAGTTGAACCTTTGCACTGAGCTACATCACTGTCCTCTTTTTATTTTGAGATAGGATCTGGATAAGTCATCCAGTTGCCTTGTTTGGGCTTGAACTTTCAATCCTCCTGCCTCAGCCTCTCAGAGTGCTGGGAAGACAAGTGTGCTTAGGGCTCAGTTATACAGGCTCTACCAATTGGACAGGGCCCTTGTGACCTACTGGGCTCTGCAGTGGCAGATGCCTGAGGGTCCCAGTGTGAGGGGTTGGGTGGATGTAGATGTTCGACCCGGTGAATGGACGTTTTTGTACTTGGATGCATTGGTCTTTACGTGGATTCAGAGTCCTGTGTGTGACTCCCAGCCAAGCCACCATGAGGGGCGAGACAGCTGGAATTTGGCGGCTGGGAAAAGGGGCCAGAGCCCCATGAGGTGCCTCCTACCTACTGCTGTTCCGCTGCAGGCCAGGCAGGTACATTCAACGTGACCTTCCGGCGGGCCAAGGGATACCCGGTCGACCTGTACTACCTCATGGACCTCTCCTACTCTATGCTGGATGACCTCAACAACGTCAAGAACCTGGGTGGTGAGCTGCTGCGGGCACTCAACGAGATCACGGAGTCCGGCCGCATAGGTAGGGCCCTGTCCAGCTGCACCTGCACCCACACACAGGTCTCTAGGAACAGGACACAGAGGGCCACATGGGCAGCAAGCCCGGGGCATCTAGGCCCCTCCAGGGCCAAGGCAGCGCCAACGTGGTCACCAAGGGCCCCAGACACAACAGCATGACGGATGGGGAGCCTCACTCCAGCACACACTTCCCAGAGGGCTCTGCCAGCCTCTCTGTGTGCAGGACCAGAAGGATGCACACTTGGACACCTGCACACATGCCCTCATACTTGCCGCACACACCCACGTTCACACTCACTGATCATGTGCACATGCGCACATCTAGTCACGTGTGTGTTCCTGCATGAGCACATGGAGTTGTGATTGCAGCCACGTGCTCACACAGGAACATGATCACACACTAGACCTGCCTGTGACCGCAGGCACATGAGTGCACACCTACACACACGTACTCACACATGGTCATGCACGCAGGTGCAGGAGTGCACATGAGCACATCGCACCCACACTTGTGGCCACATGTGTGCTTGCACACCTCATGCTCTAGTTCAGCCCACAGGCCGGTGTTGCCTTCTCCCTCACCTGGCTACAAGATAGGAAAACTGAGGCCAGGCCCTCCCCCTGGGCTGGCTGCCCAGGCCCAACCCCATGCCACTTCCCCCCACCCCAGGCTTTGGATCCTTTGTGGACAAGACAGTGCTGCCCTTTGTAAACACGCACCCCGAGAAGCTACGGAACCCCTGCCCCAACAAGGAGAAGGAATGCCAGCCGCCCTTCTCCTTCCGACACGTGCTCAGGCTCACTGACAACTCCAACCAGTTCCGCACCGAGGTTGGGAAGCAGCTCATCTCCGGGAACCTGGACGCCCCCGAAGGCGGGCTGGATGCCATGATGCAGGTGGCCGCGTGCCCGGTGAGCGTGCTGCCCTGCCCAACCCCACTTTCCTGACTGGGGCTCCCGCATACTGGCACCAGGTACACTGGCTACAGGCATCTCTGGCACTCACCCTGCCTGGCCAGTCCCTGCCAGCCTGGACCGTGAAGAGCAACCCCCACCTGGTCCCCCCAGCTTCTCAGGTGGGAGAGCAGCCGCAGGGTCCTCAAATTACCACGGGTTTCACTGCTACCTGCTCCCAGCAGCCCAGACAGGCACCAGTCCTGCGCACAGCGGGCTGCCTGGTTCTGCCCTTCCTAATGTATGTGTCCCTCCTTCCAGGCCGGGAGGGCAACGGCTGCCCCGTCCGGGTCCCTGCCCCACGCACGCCCTGGGCCTGGTATTCTAACATGGCCATACACACTCCCGCCACTCAGCCCCTGCTCTGCAGCTTCCCCCAGCCCTGGGTGTGTGTGTACCACAGAGCCATGCTGCTTGTGTGTCAGGTTGCGGTCCTGGTGATCAAGCGTGCGTTGCTCCCGGGCCTCTCCGGGCTGCTGTGGCTCCCACTGGGATCCTCAGGTTCCTTCTGCACTCGCAAAGTTTCCCACCACAATGGACATTTCTACCCATGATTTCCTGTGATTATTTTCCTGGGAGATGTTCCCAAGGAAAATGACCTCTTCTAAACTCAGCCATGCATTTCCAGCCTGTCCCCCAGAGTGTGGGGGGCTCCTCCGGGGTGCTGGTTGGTCCTACTCACTTTCAGTTCCCCACTGCTCTGAATACCCTCGAGTATGGAGGGCAACGGTGTCCCCCAGGCTGCCTGCCAGCTCTGGGAGCCTGGCTGGGAAACCGAGGCAGGCAACCCCTGCCACCTTCTCCCCAGGAGGAGATCGGCTGGCGGAATGTCACACGGCTGCTTGTGTTCGCCACGGATGATGGCTTCCACTTTGCGGGTGATGGGAAGCTAGGCGCCATCCTGACCCCAAACGACGGGCACTGCCACCTGGAGGACAACATGTACAAGAGGAGCAATGAATTCGTGAGTGCCCTGCCCCGTGGCCAGGCTGTCCTGTGGGAGGGAGAGCGGGGAGACTGGGAGGAAACTCTCTAGGCCGTTAGCAACCAGCGCGACCCCTGCAGGCTGCCCTGAGGAGCGGGAGCACCAGGCCCTGGGCAGCAAGGCCCTGGAATGAAGCTCCTGCCCAGGAGGACGTGACTGGCAGGCAGCACCTCATGCACTCTGTGCTCTGGCCAGAGAGTGCCCCTCTGCCCCAGCAAGCAGTCATCGCAGGGGTCCCATCTCTGGACAGTATCCCCAAGGTGCTACAAAGGATTTAGGGATGGGAAGCTTGGGGATCCCCACTGGGAGTCTACAGACTCTGGGAATCCCAAATGGGGACAGGAAGGAGGGACAGCATCCACCCAGGAGCCTCTGCACCAGACTGAGGGTCCTCCAGTCACATGAGGGGCCTCCACCACAGGAGGGTGCTGCCGGCAGCTCTGCCCCAACAGGGCCACTGTAGCTCCCTGTTCCCCACAGTGAGGACCTCCTCAAAATGCTGCCCATGCTCCAGACAGCTTCAAAACTTGGGAGCACTTACATACACTATCATGTTGCTTACACATCGCATCCTTTTTCTTTGTTTCTTTTCAATACTAGGGATTGAACACAGGGCTTGTATACTGAGCTACACTACATCCCCACATTTTATTTTTCGAGGCAGGATCTCATGAAGGAACTGTATTTCAGCGTGCTTGGCTTCCCTGTGACTCTGTCAAGCATTGCAAAATTGGCCTAAGCCCAGCTGGGCCTGCCAGGTGGCAGTGGCCTAAGCCCACCCTGGCCCTGGGTGCTCGAGTCCAGCAGGTTTCGGGGAAGGCTTGTCCTTGGGGCTGGCTAAGCTGACGTCCCCTCCCTGCAGGACTACCCGTCTGTGGGCCAGCTGGTGCACAAACTGACTGAGAGCAACATCCAGCCCATCTTTGCAGTGACCAAGAGGATGGTGAAAACCTATGAGGTCAGTGGAGCTGGGTCCTGAGACCTGGGGGTGGTGCTGGCCCCTTCATAGGAAGGGTGACGAACTCCAGCCACCACACATCTGACTTCTGCTTCTGTACACCGCTGTGTGGGCAGCCGGCTGCACAGGGTTTTCAGGCGGGAACACAGGAGTGAGGAGTCCAGCACCTCCATTAAGCAACAGGATGTCGTCCTGTGAATGTGACAAGGGATTTCCTGCCCCCGCAGGTCCCAGACAGCAGTGTGCATCTTGCTGTGGGTGGAATTTCTCATTTTTGGCTGCAACACTGCAAGTCTCTGAAACCTGCAGATCTGAGTTTTTGCTTAGGTGGGGAAGCTCTCGCATTTTTTTACCCACATACACTTGAACGTGACATTTTCTCAGAGTGTGATACTTAGCAAAGTTTTCCATTGCTTCCAGCACAGAGCCAGGTGTGTTTTGCAAAGAAAAGCACAGAACGCACCAGGCCTGCGCACAGCCACCCTCCTTGGCTGCGCCTGCCGACTGCCATTCTTCCATCTGTGGTCAGGGACAAGCCTTTCGGGAAGTATGGGCCCCCAGTGACACAGCCTAGCTGCTCTCACCTGGGGAGGGCATGCAGTGTATTTGGGAATCACAGTCCAAAGCAGGCCCTTTGTCCCCTTTCTGCAAGGGTAGCAGGGATTGGATTCAGCACTGTCATAGGGAGGAGTGGCTGCAGGCCAGACCATGTTTCTGAGGTCAGAGGGGCCCCTGCAGCCTAGGTGTCTGCTGCTAGAAGTGGTAAGGGCCTGGCTAGAGAGCACAACCACATGCCAGGGTAATGTCCCTAGGGCTGGACAGATGTGTGCAAGGTGCTCAGGGGCCCTCTGAGCACCTGAGTCCACTCCGAAGCTTGGTGACTTGCTGAACACGGGACCCCTCCAGAGTCAGCTACGGTTTGTCCCTCGCAGGATAGGGATTGAGGCCAGCAAAGGTGAAAGGCAACAGGGTGTAGGAGAAGGCCCATGTGGGTTTCTCCGTGTCCCCTCACCATGGAACTATGAACAGCATGTAATTCTCCTGAAGGGACAGTGACAACAGGATGGAGCATTGTCACCTGGAGCTCAGAGCTCAGAATTTTATTAGGACCCAGCCTGTGGACATGGCCAGCTATCTGCATGGCTGAGTGTGGCCCAAGTCCCTCCAGAGCTGAGCTGATCTTCATGGTCCTAAGCCTCCCAGATGATGCCATTGGAACCCTGGGCAAGCCAAGCCCCGGATAAACAACAAGGACCCTGCCAGCAGGAAGGCCCAGGAGGGGCCAGCAAGGCCAAGCCTTCAGCGCAGCCCAGCCTAGGGGAGTGCGCTGCTCCCCTTGGGCTGCGTGGCCTGGCATCCTGCAGCCAAAGCCAAGCCAGAGGAGCCTGGTAGTCTCAGGTGTCCTCTAGGAAGTCCAGTGCTCTGCACAAAGTCTTCAGAGTCCACAAGGTCCCCAAACAGAGAGCCTGGCTACTGGCTCTGTCACAACCGCATAGCCCGAGGCTGTCTCAGCAGGAATCTTCATCTTTCTGCTCTGTGAGAGGGCAACACCACCCCAAAGGACAGGGAGCCTAATCTGGACGGGCTCTGCCCTCCCCTGGCTGCAGCTTCCCATCCTGCGAATCCCTGCCATGGACACCACCTTCATAAAAAGACAGCAAAGCAAAGCCCAGGCCAATCCTTCCCTCTGCTGTGCTCCGTGCAGCCCTCCATGGTTCAGGACTGGGAGGATGAATCTGCATCCTGGGGAAAGAAAGCCATGTGGTACCCCGCGGGTCTGCTGCTGTAGGAAGCACGGCGCTGAGCCCAGGGCACTGGGTGTCAGGTTCACATTGCAGGTGCACATCAGGGCCAGCACACACCGAGGGCCACCAGCCAGGCCTGTGTGCCCGTCGCCCAGGGTCCCAAGCTCCAAAGAGGGGCAGAAGGAATGGGAGACACAGGATCAGATAGACAGGCCTCCCTGCAACCCTCCACCCCACTGCCAGGCCAGCGGAAAGGCTCACAAGGGCCAACATCAGGAACCCCAGGCAGAAAGGCAGCCTGCCAGCCAGGACAGAGCACCCTGTGTCCTCATCTGGAGTGGACAGTTACAGTCCCTCCATGCAGGGCCGTTGCAGACCCCAGTAGTTGGCCATGAGTCTGAGGGGAACACAGCTCAGCTATGAGCAGCCCCTGTGTGGGAGTGCCGAGGGGCCTGGCCAGGCTGTAGCCAGAGGCTCCCGCCGGCCCACACCACAATACTGCTGGATGCAGGACTGTCCTGATGGTGTGGGTTGTCTGTGTCCTGTGGCAGTCGCTACTCAATTTAAACCACTTGCCAGGCCCCGTGGTACAGGCCTGAGATCCCAGCACTGGCGCCCAAGACAGGATGATTGCAAGTGTGAGCCCAGCCCAGGCAGTTTACCAGAGAGAAGGCCCTGGATATGAAGGAGAAAAGAGGAAATCATGCAGCCCCCAAGGGGTGCACTCAGGACCCAGCCCTTCCTGGTGATTTATTGAGCCCCCAGTTGCTGGTCCCTCACCCCCAGCTGATGTTGGCCCACTCTGCCTGGTGTGTGCCCAGGTGCTCACCAAGGTCAGCAGCTTGGAACAGCAGGGTAGAGCATTTACAGTCTGGGATCCCCTGGCAGCACCCAGTGCCCCCTTGGGCTCAGAGAAGTAAGGACCTTGGACACCGTCCAGGTTGGCTCTGTGCCCTGGAGCCCAGTAGCACCAGTGCTGATGGAACATCCGTCCTGCCACCCACAGAAACTCGCGGAGATCATCCCCAAGTCGGCTGTGGGGGAGCTGTCTGAGGACTCCAGGAACGTGGTGGACCTCATCAAGAAGGCCTACAATGTGAGTCCCTGGCTGGGCCGCATGGAGTAGCAGAGGAGGGGAGCTGGGGGCAGAGGGGACAGGGGCACCTGGGGCTGAGTGGGGCCTCAGAAGTCCCTGAGGTGGACTTGGCCCTTCCAAGATGCTCCTCAGCTAAGGTCTCTTGTGTATCAGTCCCACATAAGCCCTATAGGGAGCCTCCACCACCGCCCTCATCCCTCAGCCCGGGGGCATGTGGCTCCCCGGGGACCCTGTGGTCCTGGTGGACTCAGGGTGCCACAGACACTGCTCAGGGCCTGGCACCAGTAGGTTCTGACCACCCCTGAAATCCACTCTCTGGTGAAAGGGCCTTATACCATACGCTGCAGTGAGAAGGGATCAGGCTCCTTCTCCAGTGTCCTTTAAGCCCACACAGGCCCTCCTGTGCCTGTCCCTCTCTGTTTCTGTACAAACCACACAGGTGACACTCTTGGTGGCTCACGCACCAGATGTCACTCCCCAGCTCAGCCTCCTCTGTCTCTCTCACTCTGCTTTCTCTCTGTCCTGCACTCTCTTTCCTCTGTCTCTGTCTCTTCCTGCCTGTCTCTATCTCTCATCTCTTACGCGGTCCACCCAGCGGCCGAGGATACACCATCGAGGGCATGGGACTGTCCTCATGGAGCTTCCAGCAGCTCCCAAAGCTGCCTTTCTGGAGGGTGGGCCTGTGGCCCTGGCAGCCCTGTACTTGTCCCTGGCACACTGCGCCCAGCTCCAGGCTCCTGATGGACACTAACTGGGAAGGGGCGGGACAGAGGTATCCACACCACTGCTGCCAGACAGCAGGACGCCCAGCCCCACATGCTTCCTCTCTGCTGCAGAAACTCTCCTCCAAAGTCGTGCTGGACCACAGCACCCTGCCAGACACCCTGAAGGTCACCTACGACTCCTTCTGCAGTAATGGAGTCCGGCTCAAGGACCAGCCCACAGGGGTCTGCGATGGCGTGCAGATCGGTGTCCCGGTGAGCAGGGCTCCAAAGGCCCCAGGCTCCTGCCCAGCTTGCTGGCCCCAGAGGGGCCTCTGTGAGCTCCAGGAACCCAGGGAGGGACAGAGGGTGGCTTGGGGACAGCAGCAGGAGAGGAGGCAGCAGGTCCACTTGCAGTTTGGCCCTGCTCCCTCAGCCTCCTCTGGGCACACTCGGGCCCTCTCAGCGTGGGTCCCAGGGTGCCTTTGACAGAGGACAAGTCATGAACCTCCTGTGGGCACAGGGCTCCTAGCTCCCTGCAGGGACCCAAGGAAGGAACCAGTGCTGGACTGCGCCCCCTGCGGGCAGTCTCGGGCCATGCAGGGCGGGTTGGGCTGGCTGTTTCTGAATTTTGTGTGCAGTTTTTGTCTGTTGGAGGCACTGGGGCTGGAACTCAGGGCCTTGGGCATTCTAAGTAAATGCTCTACTCATGAGCTACACTCCCAGCCCTTTTTTGGTTTTCACCAGGAGACAGGCTCTTGCTAGGTTGCCCAGGTGTGGCTCAAACTTGCAGGCTTCCTGCCTCCCCCTCTCTCAGGGACGGGATCACAGAGTGCTATGTTTCAGACAGGAGGCTGGAATTTGCAGTTCCTTCAGACCTGGACTTCTGAGCTCTGGCATGTGAATTCTTAAGGAACACCCCACTCTGCTGGGGGACCTTCCTGCAGGGCATCCACTCCATTGCACTCCATTTCCCACCCCTCCCCACCCTGGCTTAGAGCGCAAGTGGAGGTGCTGAGGCTACTGAGGCTGTGCCTGGACTCTGACAGACCTGGCTCCCTGCTACTCCTGGCCATGGCTCTCTGGCCTGAATTTGACCCTTGTCCCGGGTGGGACTGCAGCTCCCTCCTGGGACTCAGGACTCCCTGAGGGATCACGCAGCTTAACACCCTAGACTCCTGCTCAGGAGGTACACACAGTGTCCGTTCAAAGTTGCTCTGGAAGCCCCTGGCTAGGTGCGTGATAAGACGCATTCTACAGACGTCCTTGGCATCCACAAGCCTGAGCCACAGAAGGGCCTGGGTGCCATGATGCTGTGGCCCAAGCCAGCATCCTTGGGGCAGCCCACCTCACCTGTCCCCTGACTTGCTCCCCACCACAGCCCTGAGAGGCCAGCACCCACCCTCCCTGTGTCCCCTATGACTGTGGAGAGACAGCATCAGAGCAAAGGAGACTGGGTCACCCAGAGCCCCCACCTGAGCCCTGCCCTTGCTTCCACAGGTCACCTTCCAGGTGAAGGTCACGGCCACAGAGTGCATCCGTGGGCAGTCCTTTGACATCCGGGCGCTGGGCTTCACGGACACCGTGACAGTGCAGGTCCTGCCCCAGTGCAAGTGCCACTGCCGGGACCAGCAGCAGGACCAGGGCCTGTGCGGGGGCAAGGGCTCCATGGAGTGTGGGGTCTGCAGGTGAGGGGCACAGGGGCCCCCCAGAACACGCCCACCCCACCCCAGGGCCACCACCACTGGGCAGGCGACTGCTCAGTATTTGCACCCAGCAGCTCTGTGCATGCTCTAACCCTGTCCCCGCCTCTTGCGCCAACACAGTGCCAAGTCCCCACCTGACCCTGGCCACCAATACTCCACAGGGACAGGGACACCATATGCCTCGTGGGGAGGACTTCCCTGGGTCCTAGTGTGATCAGGAGGCCTTTGGGGAAAGAGCCGGTATTGCGGTCAAGGGCAGCCTGAGAGCCCAAGCCCAGGCCTACAGGAGACCTGACCTGATGTGCCTTCCCCAGGTGTGAGGCCGGCTACATCGGCAAGAGGTGTGAATGCCAGACGCAGGGCCGCAGCAGCCAGGAGCTGGAGGGCAGCTGCCGCAAGGACAATAGCTCTGTGCTCTGCTCGGGGTTGGGGGACTGTGTCTGTGGGCAGTGTGTGTGCCACACCAGTGACACCAAGTCCATCTATGGGCGCTACTGCGAGTGTGACAACATGCACTGTGACCGCTACAATGGGCAGGTGTGTGGCGGCCCAGGTGAGTGACCAGGCCCTGCCCTCTGGGCCCTCCGGGTGGGGCTTTCCTGTCCACTGCACAGGAGAGAGGCAATGAGATGCTGGGGCAGATGGACGGACAAGCGCATGGCCCCAGTCTCACTTGGTGGTGGCAGCATCAGGTGACTTCCTCCCTGCCTGCTGGGTTTCTGCCTCTGAACAGGTGACCAGGCTCCCGGGACAGGGCCCTATTCCAGGTGGAATGTGGAGGCCCAGGGTGGCCTGGGGTGTGGCAGCAGGTTTGTGGTTCTGATCCTGTGCTCAGGCACACTGTAGGAGGAGGGACTGGTCTAGGCGAGGGCAACAGAGCAGGTGGGGGTGGGCAGCGCAGGCTCTGGGGGCCGTGTCCCCTGCCCCTTCGGGGTGTGCTGGGCCCTGAGCTTGGCAGGCAGCTGAGTGGTGGTGGCGGCACTGTCTTCCAGTTCGGGGGCGCTGTGACTGTGGTCGGTGTCTCTGCGAGCCTGGCTTCGAGGGCTCTGCATGCCAGTGCATTAGGTCCACAGAGGGCTGCCTGAATTCGAGGCTCGTGGAGTGCAGTGGCCGTGGCCGGTGTCGCTGCAACAAGTGCGAGTGTGATGGCGGGTACCAGCCGCCCCTGTGCGAGGAGTGTCCTGGCTGCCCCTCATCCTGCCCCAAGTTCATGTGAGTGCCCCCAGGCCCACCTTGGGCCCCAAGGAGACCAGTGCCACCAGCTCTGAGGTCTCGCTTGCTGCAGTACCCCAGCCCCTCCTCTGTGGGCACAGCTGAGTGTCCTCTCTTTGCAGCCCCAGCCTGAGCTCTGTCCACCTGCTGTGCCGCCCCTGTAGCCTGGGCCCCCTCAGCCTCAGCCCTGTGCTGGGCCCCAGGGCACTGGGCCACACCTGTGTAGGGGACCCGTGTACCCTGTCAGCTGTGCACCCTGACAGGCGTACACCCTCGAGGGCCGGGACACCTGGATCACACAACCCGCTCAGGCCTGTGTCCCCCCAGCTCCTGTGCCGAGTGCCTGAAGTTCGGCTCAGGCCCTTTTGAGAAGAACTGCAGCAAGGCATGTACACATCTGACGCCGCTGATCCCGGGTATGACAGGAAGGGCCTGCCGGGAGCGGGACTCGCAGGGCTGCTGGCTGAAGTACACCCTGCGGCAGCTGGATGGGAGGAACAAATATGCGATCCAGGTGGAGGAGACCCGAGGTGAGTCGGGCAGGGTCCAAGGCCCGGGCTGGTGTGGCAAATGACAGTGGGGCCCAAGGGACCTGAGGAGCGGCAGAGGGCTGCTGTGTCTCCCTCGTGGTAGGGCAGGCCCAGCACATCAGGAGGGCACCTAAGGCAGACTACAGGGTATACTGGGTACCCAGATGCTTGCCACTCCCTAATATGGCCCTCTATTCGGCTGTGGTCTTTCTAGTCCTCGGAAGACTGTGACTTGGAGCCTCCAATCTGATCTTCTCGGGGCTCACATCTCAAGGAATGGGAGGCTTTGGGGTACGCTACACCAATGTCTCACCACATGGGGCTGCAAACAGTTGACCAGAATGCAGAAACCTGGGACAGGGTCCTGAGTCGGGAGTCCTGGTTCTCTCCAAGGGGTCAATGGCAGCCTCGGATCGGGTGTGGTCAGGCAGGGGCTGCAGGAGTCAGGCAGGCGCTGATCTGTTGCTTGACTCCCCAGGAACCCATTCACTGTTTCCAGAAGACCGACCCATCCCAATTGTGTTTTTAAAATCAAGTCGCCTGGTAGGCAGGTGGACAGGGTCCTGTCATGTATGAGATGGACACTGTCCTATTCATGGCTGTTAGTTGACCAGGAGTGAGATGGGAGGGAGGACTGCATGGGACCTATGGTGTGGACAGAGCCTGCCCTGTGGTCATTGGAGGACACCGATGGGGACAGTGCAGGGCTTGGTGTGCAGGGCCCAGCAGACAGAATGGGCTTCTAGGTGTTATCGTCATTGGTCTGTACACTGGCTGCCAGTAACCAGTGGTCTTGGGACACTACATTCTGGCAGAAAGACATACAAAAGACTTCTGAGATTTAGACCCGCAGCCCTGGGGCGCTCAGCTCCCCACCCAGTTAGGTCTCAGACATCCAAGGTATGAACTGGAAGTACACAGAGGGTGACTGCAGGAAACCCAAGTCTGACATCCAGCGTGTTCGGCTCCCAAGCCCCTCACAGGCACAAGCCAAGGAGGCAGGAGGACCTGGCCTCTCCCCATGATGATGGTCTCCCTGCCAAGGCAGGGCGGGAGACCACAAAGTGTTGGTGTGGGGCCAGGCAGAGTGGCTCAGGTGGAATATTAGTGTCCCTTCCCCCACCCCTTCAAGGGCTGTGACATGGCCCAGGTTGAAAAGAGGTCATAGTGTCATCTGGAACCTGCCCTTCTCCTCCAGCAGCTCCACCTGCCTGGGCAGCCGACTTCCCTATGAATCTGCTCCAGCAGCAACCCCAAGGGTCCCCATCTCTGAGCCCCTGAGCCCTACCTAGGTGCCAGCACAGCATCTGCAGTTCTTGGGCACAGCAACTGGCTGTCCTGTGGGGTGGCCACATGTTGGAAGGCTGGCGTCATGTCCAGGCTCTGGGTGGCTTGGAGAGCTGGCCTCACCTTCACCCTGTGAACAGGCTGAGCTGAGTGGTCTTTAAGGCCATTAGGACCTGCAGGGCCTGATCTTGTCAGTCAGGGCCAGGTTTTGGGGCTCAGTTCCATCAATCACCCAGAGCAGTGGGTGAATCCCGAGCCTGGCAGTGTGACCTCTGAGGGACAGGAAGCAGGGCCATGGCTATGGGTCTGGAGGAGACATTGATGGGTGGCTGTGTGCTTCCTTGCAGAGTGTGTGGCGGGCCCCAACATCAGCGCCATTGTGGGGGGCACCGTGGCGGGCATTGTACTCATTGGCGTCCTTCTCCTGGTCATCTGGAAGGCCCTGACTCACCTGAGTGACCTCCGGGAGTACAGGCGCTTCGAGAAGGAGCGGAGCAAGTCCCAATGGAACAATGTAAGTGGACCAGGGCTGGGACGTCCATGCAGGAGGGGTGTGCATACCAACCAGGGCAGCTCACTTCCACGTGTGGGCCAGGTGTATGGGAGTTGCCACAGGGACAGGAATCTGGGCAGGGTCCACTCCTCAGAAACCTCTCTGTGCTCACAAGCCATGTCCATGCCCTGCAGGACAACCCCCTGTTCAAGAGTGCCACCACCACTGTCATGAACCCCAAGTTTGCTGACAGCAGCTAGGAGCACCTGATGAAGACCAGGCCTTCGATCCGGCTGATCACATGGGACCCCCACACCCTGCCACCAGGACACAGCTGGGACTCTCAGCAGTGTCACCCGTGAGCCTGAGTCCTCCGTGTTCCTCCCATCCTCACGGCCAGGTGATCTGTGGACTGTTCTTCAGGGATGATCCCCTCATCTGTCCAATCCTGTGAAGGACGCAAGCAGAGAACATGCTGTTTCATGAGGCTGAGTCACACTTCTGTGTAAACCTGATTCAAGGTGGTGCAGATTTATTTATATTAAACCCAGGTTGTCTAACTTTATCCTCCTGATTACTCTGTTAACCAGGCCAGTGAGTAGGAAATAAAAAGTAAAACCGCTACACAGGCCACCCAAGAGGCTGGGCTCTGTGGCACACCCAGCCCAGGGCCTGGCTGCTGAGCCCCTCCATGCCAGTCGGGCCATGTCAGCGTCCTGCCGCAGGACTCCTGTCGTCTTCCTCTTTCCCCCCTCGGTCTGTGCATGCTGAGCTTCCCTCCAAATCATCTGTCCCACGTCCTTGGTGGCTTTTCCATGGTGTTGTGATCACACGGGAGCTTGCAGTCCTTTGCCTGTCACTTGTAACTCTAGGGTCACATGTGCCACTGTGCTGGTGTCCTGGGTCGCCTCATGCAGCAGCCTGGGGTCTGGCAACCCCATGGACCTCATTTTTTCTGATCTAACTTTGTGCCTAATTTAATTTGAAAATCCACCGGTGGTCATTTTGTATTTGGGGAGTAAGTTACTCATCAGCCTGAGCCTTACCGTTGTGCTACATGGCTGCGGTAATTCTCAGTGTGTCCTATGTGACCAGTATGGCTTGGCCCTCCCTGCCAAGACATCAAGGATGGGGCCTGTAACTGCCCTACAGCCCCGTGGCTGCGACAGGACACATGATTCCCATCATTTAAAAGCAGAGATGTTTGTCTGGCCTTACAGCTTGCGGTGGTTTGTATGTGGGCACCTATGGGAGGTGACAGGGTCATCATAAAACCTTGAATTCTGTAGGCACTGAGCTCTCGTCTCACAGATCGCAGGATGAAGTGGAGGACAGTGGAGGAGTCAGCAGAGTGTGAACTGGAAATAAGAGAAGCAGCAGCCACCTCCAGGAAGGATCCCAAGTGGGAATCCAAATCCCCTTCTTTGTCTCTCTCTGGTGAAGACAAGCAGAGTGCAGGGAAGCTCCCTACAGAGAAACTGGCTTCCAGGAAACCGATTATTTTGCAGTTCTGATGTTCCCAGAAGTGCATAAGGGAGGGAGGAACTGGCAGTGAACTTAGCCTACTCTGTGTGAGAACCTTAAGCCTGGAAGGAAGGGTCCTTATCTCTCTCTCCTCTTCCGAACTTCTTATCTTTTTCCTGTGTTCTCTTTCACATGTCTAAATTTAACTTGTTGCTGACTTGAATTAACTTGGTGGCTGCCCTGACTGTGTGTATTCTGACTAACTGAGCTCTTGCAACCAGGGTGGAACACCCGAGTGGCCTCATAAGGGGTCCCGAGGGCACGTGTGTGTCCTGTTGACCTGGGGAGGATACAACAAGGGGCAGTCTGCAGCACAGTGAATCTGAAGCTACGTCAGACTGCTGCGGACAGATACCTTCTCTGCATATAGGTGATGCAGCGTCAGTGTTTTACCTCCAGGTAGGAATGGACTGAGATGCTGTTTGTAAATAAGCCCATTTGAAATAGAATTAAAAATAAAGGCTGATTCTTTTCCTAGATAAGGCAGGGCACACGGAGCAGCCAGCAACCTCGGGCCCAAGCGGTTCCAGCCCTTCCTGGGCTGGGCTGTGCTCCCCAGTCTGCACCGCTGTCCACCCCTGGGGCAGAGAGCTGGGGCAGCTGTTTCTGCTCCAGGCCTAGGAAAGCTTGGAGGAGCCCTGGTCTCCGAAATTCCATGCTGCAGTGCCAGCTATGCCAGTGCACTGTGGACTGCGCTGCTCAGGGCTGGGGCATCTCTCTGCCACGGACTGGAGGCCAAGGGCACAGAGGAGCAGCACAAAGGAGACAGGAAATTCATAATTCTAAAATTCTAAAATTCTAAAATTTACTTTTAATAAAAACTACATAACAGAACTGCAGGCAATAATCTCCAGGGACTTTAAAGACACAGAAGACCTCCGATGTTTCCTTTGGGTATGGAAGCATGGGTCTTACACCTGGGGACAGATTAAGCCTGCCACCTGTAGAAGGGCCTCCCTGCCTCTGTGGTGGGCTATGGCTCTGTAGCGGTAGTGCTTGTCACCTGTGCCACCCTTCCTTTGCCAACAGAGCTCTCACATTTCACCTATAATTTCCTTTTTTTGAGACAGGATCTCTCTGTGTAGCCCAGGTTGGTCTTGAACTCCTGGTGAGCCTTCTGTCTCAGCCTCCTGAGTGCTGGGATTACAGGCACAAGTCCAGCTTCATCTGTAAATTATATCCTGTCTTCCCATAGATTCACAAATCCTGCAGGTTTCCACCTCCAAATCCCTGATGATACTTTCAATTTCTTAAGAGTTGTCCTTTTAGGGGCTGGGGATTTAGCTCAGTGGCATAAGCACCTGCCTTGCAAGCAGGCAGTCTTGAGTTCAATCCCTGGTACCGATAAAAAGTTAAAAAAAAAAAAAAAGAGTTGTCCTTTTAGAATTCTGCCTGATAAATCCCTTTATGCCTCTTGCTTACTGGTCCTGAAAATTCCTTTTCTGTGACGGAAATCAGAAAACCTGCATGCTGTCCTGTGACTGGGGTGAGTCCAGGTTCTCCCTCTCCTGGGCTCTGTCTAGGGACATTTTGTTCCCTCCAAAGCCCTGTGGAAATGTAATTTCCATGTGACATTCTGTGACTCGGGCCCATGACAGAAGCCGTCTGCGGCAGGATGATAGGTGGCAGTGCCCACCCAGGCTGCGCTCGGGAGGAGTGGCCGGAGGATGAGATACAGCTGCACTTGCTGCCAGCTGTGAGACTGGACGGGTGTGGGACACAGTTTCAGGGACCCCTGAAGGCTTGGAGCTGGAGCACTCAGAGGGGCTGGCTGCTCCCCAGGACAGGACTGTCTTTTCCTGTGTCCCTGAGCCCAACAGGCCCTGTGTATCACAAACCAAACCCCCTGAAATGAAACCTGGGAGCCACTCCATATTAGGGGTGTGCCACAGCCTTGGCTAACCGGCCCCACCCCCACCCACTGCTCTGAGGATCCCTCTCCCCAGTCTCGGAGCCAAGCCCGCCCCACCCCTTAGGTCCCCTCCTCCAATGTCCAACTTAGGGCTCCAGGCTCCAGATCTCCTCCTCCGGGGAGCTGGGTGGTTTAATGTGTTCCAGCTCCGAAGAAGGGAAGAAGCCTCTCTTTATGCAGGGCCTCTGGAAGTAATTACGTAACCCAGGAGGAATGTGGTCCCCAGGGGCAGCAGGTCCACCACACAGGCACTCGGCTGCCAGAGGAAAGCACTGGGACAGAGCTCCGCAGGGGCCTGCACCCACGGTTCCAGGGCATCCAGCACTGCCTGCCGGCCGGGCCTTGGGCTTCCACTGGGACATCCTGCCGGGCTCCAGGTGCAGCTGCCAATGCTCCCACCACCACCACAGCACTGTGACAGTCTGATTCCTTAGCCATCTTCTTCCTGGAAAACTCGGGTGCCTGGAACTGCAGCCTGCTCTGAGTCCTGCCCACTGTGGAACACCTGCACGGCCTGTGCTCCCGCAACCTGTCGGGCCCAGCTCAGTGCTTTTCCATTTTGTCTTGTTTTAGTTCTGGAAATTCCCCAATGGCTGGGTAAGGCAAGCACCTCCCCATGGAGCTCCACCCGCAGCCTTTTTCTTTTTTTATTTCGAGACAGGGTCTTGCTAAATTGTGCAAGCTGGGCTCAAATCGGCAATTGTCAGTCTGCCTCAGCTTCCCTCAGAGTAGGCGAGATGACCGGTTATCTCCGCCAGGCTGGGAGGGCTTGAAGCCCTTGACTTTCTTAACTTTTGCCTTCGCATGGATAGAACTGGAACTTGTTCTAGAGCAATGATTTTTTGAAATTCTGCATTACTAAATTGTCCTGAACCTCGGCAGTGTTTTAAATGCTGCTGCTGGCAGTCGTTTCCTCGTGTGTCTTACTGTTTACAGAGAGGCTACTGGGGGCTGGGAATTCACTCCTTCCTTCCTACCTCATGGTGATTCTCTCACCTCAGTCTCCTGAGTGCTGGGATTCCAAGCATGTGCCACAGAGCCCCAGAGCAAAGCACACGCATTCCCTTTTTCCTATCACTCTTGAGCCTAAGAGCCTGGTCTCTCTGCACAGGGTGTAACGCCTTTTCTGCCATTCAGTTTTCTGCTCAAGATCTTCAGTAAACACAGCTACTGTCCCCCTGCCGTTGGGTGTACACTTTGCCATCCATTGCTTGTCTTGCTCTGTGGTAACCCATGTGGTAGTAAGCACCATAAAATTGGTGCTAGCCCTAGGCTGCTGGGGTGGACACGTGCTATATCTAAGGAAAGAGCTCTACTGCTCCACGCATGGATTTCAGACCCTTGCTGGTAGAGCAGGAGGTCCCCTGTGAAGATGCAAAGTTCTTGCCCTAGGAGGTATGGAGCAGACCCTGGCAGGGCCTGGGTTTTTGCCTGCATAGGGTTGGGAGGAGGCTTCTGTCCCTTCCTTCTGGGGGTGGGGGTGCCCGCAGTGAGAGCCCACTGTGCCCTGCCTGGTACCCTGGGCAGACAGGGGCTTCAGGTGAGCCCTCTGTGCCAAGCTAAAGAGTTGGTTGGGGAAGTGGACACTGGTTGTGACCTATGACCTATGACCTGTGACCTGTGACCTGCCTCAAAAACCAACCCAAGCTCTCCTGTGCTTCCACTGTGAGCTGTGGCAATTGAAGCCCCTCAAGCCATGTAATAGGGCTGAATTCTCGGTGGTGGGAACGGGTGGAGTTGGGATTTGACCAAGTGGAGCTTCCTAGCTTTCTCTGGGAGTGGGCAGAGGGCAGTGCCCCCCCACCATGTTTCCCTAAATGCAGAGATCCTGAGTGGGGAGATACAGGCATTAGCACTCCATGCAGCCAACCCTACTACATTGCCAGACCGTACCAGGGAAGTCCCCAGGCCAATCTCAAGCAAACTGCTTGATCTTTTGTTTTTTGTTTTTATTTTGTTTTTTGTTTTGAGACAGGGTCTCACATGCATTTCAGGCTGCCTCAAGCTCACTGTGTAGCCCAGGCTGGTCTCAAATTTGCAATGATCCTCCTGCCTCAACCTCCCAAATGCTGGGATTACAGGCATGAGCCACCACACCTGGTTTGGTTTTTGTTTTTGTTGCTGTTATTGTTGTTTGTTTTTTGAGACAGAATCTCACTTGCATAGGCCAGGCTGGCCTTGAACTCGTGGTGATCCTCCTGCCTCAATCTCCTGAGTGTTGGGATTACAGTCATGTGCCACCACACCAGGCTGGTATTTCTCTTCTCATTTCTTATAAACACTCTCCTAATTCCTCCTTTTGTCTGTGATTTTCATTCTTCAACTTTATGACACTGTGGGCTCAGTTTGTACAAGATAAGCTGTTATACAGTGATTTTAGGATTAGCAGGCACGTCATTGCTGCCTCTTGCCAGCTGGAGTTTGCCAGCTCCTCCAGAAAGCCTGGTTTCTTTGTTCTGATGAAAGTCCCAGCCATTTCTCTGTCCTCAGGATACACCAGAGACAACCCTCCCTGTGCATATGCAGACTGCATTGCAAGCTCATTCTTCTGTTGTTGTGTTGTCTTTGGTTTTTCTGAGACAAGGTCTCACTTTGTAGAGCAGGCTGGCCTCAAACTTACTGTGTAGCCCAGATTGGCCTCAAACGGTTGGTGACCCTTTTTATTGCAGACCAGTCAGGCCTGAAACCTCCCAAACCATCAGACAGCAAAGGATTAAAGACATAAGTGTATGATTTTAGGGCTCCAGGAGGATCAAACTCCGCTAACAGAGTTGGGAGTTTCTGGGGGCTGAGACAGAGAACTTTTCTGGCCCGCCTGTATTTATTTGGTTTTCAAACAAGGAAGGAGTTAGAGTGGACCACAGGAAAGAGAGCAGGACCTTGGGAGTTGGCTCAAGGACTTCTCCAAGTAATAAATTATGTTAATTTAGAGATATGTTATCTCCAGGCTGACCTTCACCACAGGACTGAGACACCTGCAGCTGCGGTCTCTATTTAGTTAACTCAGATTGGAACCAGGTGTCCTCAGCTGTGCCCTTACCTTGCCTGTTGTCACAGCATCACAGGCCACTGCAGGCCTCAGCTGGAACGGGTGATTCACAGAGGTTCACTTACAGTGAATCCACTGCCCATCTCCAGACAAGGGGCCTGGCACAGACTCACAAATGAACATAAAAGCCAGTTAGTTCATTTTAAATCCTGCTCAGACCCTCTTCGTGGTGGTCTCCATCTCCTCCTGCCTCAGCCTCCTGAGTGCTGGGATCACAGGTGTGCACCACCATGCCTGGCTACAATCCCACTCTGTAGTCCCAAATGTTAGATCTTTCCTAGAGATCCAGCTCCGTGTTCTTTTGATCTGGACACTGCACACTGCAGAGCACCCTGGAGTGCCTCCTGGCCGGCAGGTGGCATCTCCTTACTGACCTGGGCGCCCTGTAGCCAAACTTCCAACCATGGGAGCCCAAAGTGCAGGGGATCAGGGAAGACCTTGGACACTCAGCTGCCGTCCACTCATTGTCCCCTCATGTGGTCTCCTGAGGGTCAGGGGTGTCTGGCAGCTACAGAACGTGGCCTAGTGCTCCACGGGACAGGTACCACTTATGGATCCTGCACTGCTCCTTCTGAGCCAGGATGGTGGCCAGATGGGCTTCCAGAAGACATGACTGATTTTCAACCCTGAACTTTTACCCTCTTAGAATGGCAAAACCAGTAACAAGATCCAGCACCCATTGAACAGACTTTTAGTGTTGGCCAAGAACAGAAGTAGGAGATAAATCAACTCTGCATTTGGGAGTCAAGAGATTATGGATAGAGGGTAAAAGAAATGAGTAGGGAGAGACAGGCTAGCCAGGGGAGGAATATCCATGTGTTTTCTGGGACTGTGCAGAGATCTGCTTGGGGAACTCAGGTGCTTCTCTCTTTTTTTCTTTCTTTCTTTCTTTTTTTGAGACAGGGCCTTGCTATGTAGTTTAGGCTGGGCTTGAACTCACTATGTAGCCCAGACTAGCCACAAACTTATAGCAGTGCTCCTGCCTCAGCCTCCTGAGCACTGGGATGACAGACGCGCACCACCACGGCTGACCCTTCATTTCTGAGTCTTTCCCATCATTTTCATAGCAACTGTGAACTGTTAAGGCATGTGTCATTAGCATGCAGATGAGATTTTAATGAATTTAGAGGCTGTCTGGGGTCTCTCATAGTGATCTTAGACCCAACACAGGTCCACCAGAATTGGGACCTCAGGCCCACAGCCGTCCTGTACTCACAGATGAACGAGATTATGCCAGGTAGAAATTCAGCTCCTTCGAGCAGGTGGAACAAGACTAGGAGAGGGCAACAGATCCAGGGAAGCAAGAAGGATCCTCTCCCTCCTAAGAACAATTCCCAAAGCCCATTCCACCACTGCTGTGGATTGAGGTTCTCTCAGGACTCACATGATGCATACAATAATAATAATAATACAAATTTAAGATAATTTTGAGTTTGTCTTTAATGTTCTTTTTTTTGTATCTGATAGAATTGTGGCACGGCTGAAAAGATAAATATGAAATATAAATGACCTTTATTTTAAGAATGCAGGGAGAGCCCCCCTGACCCACCAGGGTCTGGCATTGTCTTTGGGGGATGGCATTCTCTCCGGGGTCTGGCAATCTCTCTGTCACATGGAGTAGAGGCACACATGTAGCTTAGGTTTGGGGTGGTGCCTGAGGGGCATTAGTGATATTCAGGTAGCCCATTGGTATTCATTTTGAGCCACAGGTAAATTCCTAGGGGCGGAGGAAGATAGAGTCCCTTGATTCTGTCTTCAAGGCTTGACCCGCTACAGTGTCCTGTCTGGGCCAAAATCCTTTCAGTATCAGGACTCGAACTCACGGCTTTGAGCCTGCCAGGCAAGAGGTGTGCTACTGAGCTATAACCCCAGCCCGTCTTTAATGACCTTATGTACTTAATGCCTCAAAAATGTCCCTGGGCACCTGGGACACCCTGGGTGTCATCAGCTAGCACATTGCTTCTGTGATAAAGGAAATTAAAACCGAAGTGATACAGGAAATGCTTCCAACAGGGAGAAACTGGAAAGAGACTTCAGCTGGAGAAACGAGAAGCAAAGGGGACAGGGCTCTGACAGACTGAACCAGGCTTTGGATTTGGATTTGGATTTGGTAAAGCCATTTGGGCCTGCGGCAATGAGGGGAGGGTCAGTTCCCAGCTTTGGTGCAAGGGCTGGTGAGAGCGGGCACAGGAAGGCTTTAACCCAGCAGTTCTGTCTCCACCCGAGGAGAAGTCTGGGTGGGGTGTGGAGTGTTCAGTGCTAAAGAACCGTGCTCAGATTTAGGGTGGCCAGCCTGGGGGAGTAACTGCAGAATCTTGGGTAGTTGAAGGCCACCACCACCCCCTTATCTTAGTGTCTTCAGTTCTGAAAGGGGTTCAGAGATGTCAGATAAACTCTGGGCCAGCCAACTTGTTTTTGTCAACTTTTAGAAAAACTTGTATGCTTGAGCTGAGAGAGCTTTGACTCAAAGATTCAAGGAAACCAAGAAAACAAAAGGCCAGGCTTTGTTCTGTATCTGTACAGATCCAAAGGAAGTCATTGTTTTTAGTTTTAGCAAACTGCTTGAAGTCCCCGACTGCTTAAAACACAAACCATGCTGTTAATAAGTAACAGGTTCAGAGCCCAGGGTGAGTCTGTCCCTTCCCAGAGGTAGTCTCTGTGTCACAGGGGACAGGCCTTGGGGAGTTGGCCTGGGGACATCGGGTGAGGGAGCCCACGGGCTCAGGTCCACCCACCGCCTCTGAGCCCTCCCTGAGTTCTGAGCGTAGTGTGGCATACCAGGGCTAGGCAGGCTGAGGCAGGAGGCTCCCACCCACTTCGAGGCCAGTTTGGGCTACAACAGTGTGTCTCACTCTCAAAACCGTCACCTCAAAATAAAGTTTCGCCAGCACCTGGGTTCACCGTGGAGGACCACGCACCTCTGCAGGGTCAGGAATCCAACCCCTCCAACCCCGCCCCACCGCCCGCCGGGGCCCTCCGATGCGCAGGCGCACTGAGCCACACACGACCCGCTGTGAGGCAAGCCGGAAGGTGAAAGGGGCGGAGCGATCCGTAGCCTGCGGCTGCGCAGTCGCTGACCACGCCCCCAGACCGCCCCCTTCCGGCGCCTCGGCTTTTCGGGCGCAGAGCTGAGGCGCTGGCGTCGCGTTTGCGGTGGCTCTGAGGAACCACTTAGCGACCACCATGGCCCCCGGCGCGGCCCGCGGGTCCCCGCGCTGGGTGCTGCCGCTCTGCGGCGCCGCGCTACTCCTGCTGCTGATCCTGGCGACTGCGCCAGAGCCTACCGGAGCAGGTGAGGCCCGGCGCGGGCTGGGCGGTGGGCAGCGGGACGCGGAGGGGCCGAGGCCGGGCGGCCGCGAGCGATTTGGCCTCCGTCTGTCCTCGCGGGTCACGCCGGTGCCAGGTGTGGAGCCCTGGTGCCCGCGACAGTTCCGGAGGACGCGGGCCTGGGCACCCCGAATTCAGGCGCTGGGCCCCTAGCCTCCGCCGCCAGGGCTTCTGGCTGGCCCTGGTCTATAGGTCCCCAGGAGGCCTCTGACCTCCCTCGTGACCCTCGCAGCGGGGTGACCCGGGCGGGCTGGAGGGGCCGGTGTCATTCTGGGCAAGTTTTCTCACCCACCTGGCAAAGCATGTTTTCTTTTTGTGATCTTAAAATTGTTTCTCCCAGGGGCTAGGGATTTAGCTCAGCGGCATAAGCGCCTGCCTTGCAAGCAGACAGTCGTGAGTTCGATCCCTGGTACCGATAAAAACAAAAAAGACAACAACAACAAAAAAATTGTTGCTCCCGTCCACTGTTGTGTAGATTTGTTATCCACCTCCCCGTGTGCTTAGCGCTTTGTGACAGCAGTGCCGCAGTTTTGTGTCAAGTAGTAGGAGCTAATTCCACTCCGGCAAGGGACTTGGAGCCCAAGTAGAGTTCTGGTCACACGGGTGCAGGTGAGCTCTTGTTATCGAGCAGAACAAGTGTATCTGAGATCCAAACAGCGCCAGACCTTTATCAGTGGCTCGTGGGCGTGTTTGCTTGCATTGCTAGAGCTGGTGACTGTGCGGTGCGCTGTGTCCCCTTGCCCTGCACCTCCGACGGGCGGTTTGGAAATTCACCAGGAAATATCGCTTCCGTGTGTCAGCTCTTCTGTTCCCTGGACTATCTGTACACTCAGAGAGTGGTGCATTTCTCTCGGGGACACCTTGACCGGGGCCTTAATGCCACACTTGTGGAGCTGTGTCCTGCCCACTTGCGTTGGGCCTGCTGTGACCTTGTCCCTGGAGAAGTTACTGCTTGCAGGGCTGAGGCCCCGGGCCCCCTCTCACTGTAGATTGTGTGCAAAGGTATTTTATTGTTTCTCCTTGTATAGGAATATGGTTGCTGAGGTGTAAACAGTTCATATTTACAAGAATACTGCGCGGACATCGTAACAATCCAAAGTCCTCCTTGTTTTGTTTTGTTTTGTTTTGTTTTGTTTTTGAGACAGAGTTAAACTCTAGTCCAGGCTGGCCACAAACCCGTTGTGTAGCCCAAGTTGGCCTCACACTTGAAGTGATCCTCTTGCTCCGGCCTCCCAAGTGCTGGGGTTATAAGTATGCACCACCATGCCTGGGAAGCCTGCAGTTTTGTTTTTTTTTAACTTTTTTTTTGACACAGGGTCTCACTATGCAGTTCAGGCTGGCCTTGAACTCACTTTGTAGCCCAGGCTGGTCTCGAACCCGAAAGGATCCTCCCACCTCAGCCTACCGAATGCTGGGATTACAGGCCTGAGCCACCACGCCCATCTCAAGCCTGCAATTTTTAAAATAGTTCTTTTGTGTGTGTGTGTTCTTTGGTGGAGGGAAAACATGAGGAACCCATAGTATATCAAAGACCTTTAGGGAAAAAATTTATGAAATTAATAGGCCATTAACAAGGAACCTTCGTTAATGTGTATGGGGTTAGGTTCCATCCAAGAATTTTACGTGGGGGTGGCAGTCCCTAAAGGGACCTCAGCTGAGGTCCAAGTATGATACAGTTTAGAGTTCTTTGCAAATTAGCAAACGGGGCTGGGGATTTAGCTCAGCGGCATAAGCACCTTGCCTTGCAAGCAGGCGGTCGGTCATCCTTGGTACCGATAAAAATGAAAAAGACAAAAAAAAATGAGCACACAGAATCCTCAAGAAACACAGGGCAGTTTTTCTTACCTCCACGTGTCCTGTAAAGTGGAGCTGGAGAGAATGGTCAGTGTGTTCTTCTGTGGCATCTTCCATGAGAGAATGGACCATCCCACTTGTTACTTTGCTGAGGACCTGGTTTCCCAGTGTTGAAGAACCACTGTGTTCCTGGTGTGTGCAGGAGGTGAAAGTCTAGGTGGCTCCAGCTCTTCCTTCCTGGCCTCTGGAAGACTCACACTGGCCAGTAATCCAGAGGCCAGCGGTGGATTTAGGCCAGGGTGTGTCTCTTGGAGCTCATACAAGCACATTTATCAAAATGAAGATCTGGGAAGAGGCCCTTGCCTGAAGCCACTGTGTCGGACTGGTGAGAAAGGGGGTCTGGTTTCTTGGAGGTGACTTTGGAAGGCCAGGGTAATAGTGTGCCAGGCTACCTCAGGGTGGGAGACAACCTCAGGGTGGGCAAGGTTAGTGAGGAGCCCCCATTGATTTCAGTGTGGCTACACTTGACTTACACACCCTCTCTAGCTACTTTTTCCAGACTTTTCAGCTTACAGTAAAATAGCCTGTATATTATTTTAAAAACATCAATTGCAAAATGATAAATTACAATTGTGTTACCTTTGTTTTCCCCAAACCATGAGAGTAAGTTGCTGTGGTGACACTTTACCCTTAGTTTCTTTTTATTTTTTTGACAGGCTCTCTATGTAGTTCAGGCTGGCCTTGAGCTCACTTTGTAGCCTAGGTGTGGCTGTCTTCCTGCCTCAGTCTCTTAAATACTGGGATTGTGGGACTCCAAGCTCTGATCCCTTGATCAGAGGTTCCAAGTCCTGTGCATCCCGCCCCATGTCCCTCTTGGCCAGTGAGCTATCTTTTACTGCCTGACCCTCTGATGCCTTTGCTTTCCCAGCAGGCTGTGCTCAGAACACAAACACTTCGTGTGAAGCGTGCCTGAAGAACGTCTCTGTAAGTAACTTGGATCTGAGTGCTTTCTCCAGGTCTGGGGAGCGTGTGTGTGTGTGTGTGTGTGTGTGTGTGTGTGTGTGTGTGTGTGAGTGAGAGTGTGAGAGAAGAGTTTTGTGGTTAGGGTATTTTCAGGACGGTTGCTAAACATGTTGTAGTGCCTCTTGGGCATGTTAAACCTTCTGATGAAAACTACTGGCACCCCAAGTACAGCCCACATAGGTGGTTTTACTCTGCAGCAGGAGGGCAGGAGCAGGAAGTGTGCAGGCTGGGGCTTCTGCTGCTGGTTGGGAAACAGGTATGCTGGTGTGTGAGAATCAGTGCTGAAAGAGACAGGCACTGGTCTGAGACTGCTGGCCCCTGACCAGGCCTTCCTGTGGGGTCACAGGCTTCAGAGACCAATCCTCCAGCATTGCTGTGCCCCATCAGGAGATGGAGAGGAGAGAGGGAACCTTGCTTTCCCTCTGTTGTCAGGGCACTGGGGGAAGTTCTGTCAGCTCTTTGCATAGGTTCATATAGGCACGAGGGGGAGTAGCTGCTAGTCAGCTGGAGACCCCAGGCCATCTGGTGCCCTGGGATACTTGGCCAGTCCACTGGATTTGGTATTCAATTCCCTTAAATGCCTGCATGCCCTCGAGCAATAAGGTTACCAGACTCCTTAATGCCCCACTTAACAAGGGGGCCCATCTTAGGTCGGGGTCCTGGCATCTGAACAGATTGGGGCAGTGCATCCATTGAGTGATGAAGGAAACAACACCCCAGCACAGATCTTGTGATGGTGCTCAAACATCTTTGTTTGAGACCTGGTGGCTTCTGTGTGCCTGGCCTCTGGCTCCACCCCACAGAGGAGCTCTTGGTGTTTCTTGTTGAGTTCAGCACTGTGTGGTCCTATTTGGGAAGTCCAAGGGAGGGCAGTTGGGATACAAAACAACTCAGTGGCCTTTTCTGAGGACCCCAGGGTGTGTGTGTGTGTACCTCCTTTCTGCCTCCATGTAGGTCTTACCCTCTCATGAGTGGTCAGGAGCCAGGTGGTGGCTTCTGCTCTGAGATGTTAGTTACATGTTAACTCCACAGGTGTAAGTAGCACGGGAGTGAGATGTGTTTCATCACCTTGGGGGCTCAGAGGGCCTGCTCTGCTGGGTCTGGTCACCCGGGTGTTATTTTTTAAGCTGCTTTTTTGAGTTTCTGGATTTTCCTTATTGTTCCTGTTCAACCATAAAAGGAGCTCACTGTTTAGGAAGGGGGCTTGTGTGTGTATCTGTCTCTCTGTCTGTCTGCAATGTTGAGGAGGGTGACCACCCATGGAGGTACCACCCAGAGCGCAGTGGGTAGAGTAGGCCAAGGAGAGCTGTAGACCTGACCTGCTTTGAACCCACCAGAGCAAGTCAGAAAGGTCAGGGGAGAGGGTCTGGCCCGGGCCCACAGCGCCTGTCCTCAACACACAGGCGTTCGAGTGCCTGATTCCTCAGGAAGGCCTGACAGGCTGGGTCGGCTTGAGGTGAGGCTGCAGCTACAGCATGTGCCCTGGGTGCTGGCTGAGTTGTTCACCACGTGACTATTGCTTCAGCTAAACATTGGCAGCCAGCTGAGTATGTTGGTGCACAGCTGGGGTCCCTGCTTTGGGAAGCTGAGGCAGGAGGATCATAGGTTTGAGGCCAGCATGGGCAATTTAGCAACTTAGTAAATCTCTATTCTAGGATTTCAAAAAAGGAGTGACGCAGTGTAGCTCAGTTGAAGGCTCAGGGTTCAATCTCTGGTGCCACCATATGGGAGCGGGCTGTGTCCACTCAGCGAGCACCAAGTTGTATGTAGGTAGACAGTTAAGACATTTACAGCCTGGGCTGTTGGAGGTGGAGGGCTCACTGCAAATTGCTGGTCCAGGACAGACCCAGCAGCCATCAGTGGCTCAGATTCTGAGCCTTTGTGAACATGAGGCCCCGGAGCAGGCACCGCACAAGTAATCCAGATAACCCACGGTGCACGTTAATGTTTTCATAATAGATGGAAGGTCCCAAAAAGCGCGACCCTTCAGTTCTGTTGGTTCAGTAACACTGGCTTTAAATAGCCAGCAGAGTCTCAGCCTGACAGGCAAGCTCAGTGCTGTGGGGGTTGCAGCTCTCCTGCTGCGTCCTGTGTGTCACCTGCTGGTGGCTCCTCCCACCGTGAGTATGCTGCTGTGGTGAGTGGCAGGCCTGCTGTACAGTTGGCATTTGCTGGGGTAGTCTCCCTAATGTTCAGGCGCCTCAAACCAGAGGCCACAGCCGTGTGACCTTTCTTGAGTTGGTTATTCAAGCTGCAATAACTTAGTACCAGGGTAAAGGCAGAGGGCAGAGCCTTGGGGCCTCTTGAGACCATTCAGCCAATGCTTAGTGGGCCCATACCATGAGCCAGGCTTTGTCCTGCACCTTGGTGCCTGCCCACGTGCAGGGGTTGGTAGGCACCACGCATGGGCTGCTGTAGGAGGTGGTGGTGCGGCCTGTGAAGTATGTGTGGGTCAGGAGGCAGGGCAGGAGACACGGGTGGTGTGTTGAGTCGGTTTGTCAACTCGGGCTCGACATGAGGAAGGTGCAGATGTCCAGGGAAGAGGCTCCTTCCAAGGTGGGGTGGCTCTCAAGACCAGTGTGGAAACCTACAGGATTGGGGCTGGCGTTGGCAGATTGTGGGCACCATCTGAGTTACACGGCCTTGGTGAGCAGCTGCCCACAGTGTCAAACACAGACCAGAGGGCAGCAAAGTGAGCAGGACTGGTTGGAGGCCAAAGCTGTATGGCATCTTCCTAGGAGGGCTGCCAGGGTCCCAGGTGGGGAAGCCCTTCGAAGTGGCTGGCTGGTTCCCAGGCTGAAGTAGCTGTGTGACACTCTGTCTTACAGTGTCTGTGGTGCAACACTAACAAGACCTGCATGGACTACCCGGTTAGGAAGATCTTACCACCCGCTTCTCTCTGCAAGCTGAGTTCTGCACGCTGGGGTATTTGCTGGGGTAAGTCATCATTTTCATTTACTGTGTGCAAAATTAGTGCTTTCCTGGAAATTCCAGCAGGGGCTCAGCATAAATCGCCAGGAATCACGCTGGTGAGCCTCTGAGCCACGCCCATAGAGAAGGAAGTACAGGCCATGAGGCTTTCAAGGTGCTGGGCCTGGTGCTGGGGGCAGAGTCGAGGGTGGGTCGTCTTCGTTGCAGTCTCCACATGTATGCTGGGTCTGCCTGCGCTGCCCCCAAAGCCAGTGTAGGCTCCCTGGGATTCTGCATCCCTGGCTTAGGAGCCCCTCTTCCCGACTTTCCACATTTCTTCTGTCTCTGCTACTGGTGGATTGCACAGGTGTTCATTCATGAGAAGGATTCAGATTGTTTTCTGGCTGGCTTTTTAAGTCTGGGGTGTGTCTTGCTACTTGGAACTCATTTTTCTGCGTTGAATTTTTAAAATTTTTTCTTTTGTGGTTTCAGGTTTTGGGTCACATAGACCTCCCTCAACTCCTAAGGGAGCTAGTATTTTCTTAGAGCACTGTGTGTGTGTGTGTGTGTGTGTGTGTGTGTGTGTGTACAGCTTGAATCTTTCTGTAGTCTACTCTTTACGCACCTATCTTCTCGCTCAGGGATGGTGAATGTTTTAGAGACTGAGTGCCCAAGCCACAACCCAGAACCAGCTTACCTATGGCAGAGTGCCACCACCACAAATAAGCCTGGAATATCCAGTGCTCGGCTGCTAGAGCAACAGCGAGGGCTTTGCAGGACCACTGCTCCACTGTTCCAAGTCCTGGCACTGGGTTCCCCCTTCCCTCTGAAATGACTTTTCCGAAGCTGCCCTGGGGCTGTGATTGGACGTGCCTGTGAGTGCGCCATCCCCACCATGCCCGCCTGCTCCATGTCCTCCCAGGCATCACCGCTCCCTCACTGCTCCACTGTCTTGGCTGCTGCCTTTCCCCAGAGCCTTTCCCTTCTAATTATGCACATTGCTGCTATTTTTTGTAACTCTACACCCACAGACTAGGTCATAGGAGGACAGGACACATGATTAAAAAGCTCAAGGATGTTGGAGCACATGTGACACCAACAGTTGATTTTAAAGTGGTTAATAAGGAAAAAGTAAAGTAAAGCAAAGAATGCGATGTTTAATATGCTACCATACAGGGGCTGGGGATTTAGCTCAGCGGCATAAGCGCCTGCATTGGAAGCAGGCAGTCATGAGTTCAATCCTTGGTACCAATAAAAAGGAAAAAGACAAAAAAAAAAAAAAAAAAAAAAAAATACAAGGAGTTGGTGAAAGGGACAGCTCGCAGGAGTGGTGTGCAGGCCCTCCAGGCCTGGACTCAGTGGAACACAGCCCCACCCCGAGCATGGCCCCCGGGTTGCTGGCTTCATGTAGCGGGCACAGGGTGGAGCTGCACAGTGGGGAGCTCATCCTGGAGCTGACTCAGGACTGTCTCAGGACTGTGAGACCCAATGTGTGTGCAGAGTGGGATGGGGTGTTCCCACTTGGCTTTGGACTGAGCTGAACAGGAAAAGCACGAATGGTATAATTTCAAGATCTGAGAGATGCTGACAATGTTTTTGTCACCAGAGGCTGGCTTTAGCAGGAAGCCATGGAGCCATGCTGCCAAGTCATCCCCCCACAGATGACGCAGTGGCTGGGCTGCTCTCCAAAGCCTTCCCCTCAGGTTTGGTGGTCATTTGAAAGACATTTGCTCTTCTGGGAAGTAGTTGTGATGTTTTTGATTTTGACTTAAATAGTGGACATTGCTGCTGCAGGCAGTGCAGCCTCCATTTCTGAGGAGCACCACAGAGAGGTTTAAGCCGGCTCAGGAGTGTGGAGAGGCCTGGGCTTCTTTCTGGTTTCTGTTTACCTTTCTGTAACCGGAAACCTCTTCTCAGGCTCAAGTAGAAAAGCCATTCTGACCCTTTATCATGGTTGTCCAGGAATGAAGTCACAGACAGCCAGATGGCTAGAGGCAGATGCAAGCCCGAGAGCTGTGGCCTGGGCAGTGTAGTGTACCAGGCTTCAGGGTTCCCCCCAGAGGAGGGACACTGCCTTCCGTGGCTGGGGTGGTGAGGAACGTGGCTCTGACTCTCGGGTCTGGCTTTGCAGTGAACTTCGAGGCGCTGATCATCACCATGTCTGTGCTGGGCGGCTCCCTCATCCTGGGTGTCACTGTGGCCTGCTGCTGCTGTTGCAGGAGAAAGAGGAGCCGGAAGCCGGATAAGAGGGATGAGCGTGCCATGAGGGAGCAAGAGGAGAGGAGGGTCCGGCAGGAGGAGAGGTGAGGCCGCAGAGCGGCTCCCCGGATTTCCCAGGTTGATAGGAGCCTTGCAAGTTTGGGCTGCCTAGTCTGTTTCCTCCAGGGTGGTAAGGGGAGGGAGTGCAGCTGGTCTTGCAGATGGCTGGGTTTTGGTGCAGTGACCAGGCACCTAATAGCAGAAGCAGCTGGGCCTTTAGGGTCCAGCACTGCTCCCTTAGAGGAGCTGGGGAGGCTCACAGTATCTATCGGGCATTGAGCTGAGTTATCACAAAGAGGGACTGCTTTACTGTAGTGTCCCAGGCTGCTTTACCCAGCCACCGTGCTGGGCATGTGATCTGATGGCCAAGCTCGTCCCCATCTGGCCTCCTGGGAACCTGGGCCTCAGCTCCTGGAGGGGAAGAGGCATCTGTTGTGGTGGCATTGTGCCAGTGGGTAGTTTGATGGTATCTTATTTTTCTCCTAATTAAGTTTCTCGGTATATTTTAGGTGTACATAATGGATGTCACATTCATCCTAGGAGATTTGTACCTGTACACGCTATAACTTGATTCTGGTGTTTTTTTACATTCCCTTCACCTCCTTTCAATGCTTTACCCCTATTTACAAAAGCTTTGTTTCTTTCTTCTTCCTTTTCTCTTCGTTTGCATTTGGACATTTTCTTCCTGTTTCACAATTTCTTTTACACATTTTGGTCCTCATTTATACTTCTGATTTTTTATATCAGAGAAACACTGTGGTATTTACATGTGTCTCATTTATTTCACTTAACAGAATGATCTCAAGGTGCATCCATTTAGCTAGAAATGTCTCAAGCTTACCCTTCTTTATGGCAGAGTAGTATTCCATTGTATAAAATGTACCACAACATTATCCATTCATCAGTTGGTGGGTATTTAGGCAGCTTCCAGGACTTGGCTATTATAAACTGTGCTACTACAAACATGGGAGTGCGTATGGGACCTCTAGTTATGGTTTTTGAGGAATCTCCACACTGATTTCCACACTGTCCACACTCCCACCCACGATAGTAGAGAAGGGTTCCTTTTTCCCACATCCTCTCCTGATGTTGTCTGATTAAATTTTTTTTTAGGAGAGCAGAGATGAAGACAAGACACGATGAAATCAGAAGAAAATACGGTAAGTCTCTGTCTCCTTTCTGCTGGTTAGAACCAGCACAGCGACTTCCTTCTGTCTGTGCTGCAGGCTGTCCTCCAGCAGGCAGCGCTGGCCTCTTCACAAAGGAGCTTGGTGGGCTTGTCTTGGCCAGGCCCTTCCCTGTGAGCTGCTGGCTCACAGTGCAGGCCTATAGCTGGCTGCAGCTCTGGACCTGGGTGTCCCCTGTCCGCTGTCCTGCATACTGGGTGTGGCTCTGAGCTGAGGTTTGGAGACTGGCTGAGTGAGGCCTGTCACCTTTCCCAGCACTGCCAGATGCTTTGCCTTGCTTAGTTTGGTGTAGGGAGACCTGGTGGGCGACTTTACGGGAGATGGTGAATGTGCGTGTTAGGTGTAGGCTTCTTATCTGGTCTGCACTTCCTAAGTGACATAGTCTTAACCGGTGTTACCCTGCCCTGTCTGCACTTGTGTTTAGTGGACTCAGCTGGTTTTAAAGCCCACATTCACCGTTGACGTCCTGCACCGGATTTGGGGTTGCGCGGTGGGCCCTCCCCTTGCCTGCCTGCACCCGCAGCCCACAGCTGGCCATGCTGTTTGTCGGAAGCGCAGTGTGGAGGCTGCACCCTCTGGGGAAAGTTCTTTCCCAATAGGCGTGTCTTGGAGCTCTTACCTGAATGAGGGGAGAGGTATTCTCGCGGTTCTTTGATGTCCCAGCTGCTCCCTGATCACTGTGACATCCTGTTGTAGGAGAGGTAGAGGGGGTGTCGGAGCAACACCAGTAAAGGGCGTGGCTCTTCAGGACGGGTTATGAGGATCCTGACTGCCCCCTGTCCCCTCTGTTGGGGCTGCAGGGGTGCCCTGGCTGGGAGGTAGTTCTCTGTGGTGTGGCTTTGGCTGTCACTGTCCCAGTCTTACCCACTGGTCCCATCACAGCCGTACCTGGCCCGCCCTCTCCTGCCCAGCCTGCTCTCTGCCAAGACCTGCAGAAGGTGGGGTTAGTGACCCAGGCCTGTGTCACCCAGTGGGGTGGGGTGGGCGTGCAGAGTGTGTGTGCTGTGCGTGGTGCAGGGTAGTAGCATGGGATCCCCAATGGTCAAGCTCCCCTCCGTCCTACTGAGCGCTGCTGCTTGAGTCAGACTGGCGATGCCGGCAGCCTTAGTGTGGAAAATGCACTGGTGATTACAGGGACGTTTAAGGGTCTGTTGGAACTGTGGTTTCCTGGGAAGTTTACTTCAGTTTGTTCTGTTTATTGGTACTGGGGATTGAACCCAGGGTCTTTGCACTGAGCTACATCTTCAGTCATTTTAAAAATTTAAATTTAAACAAGGACTGGCCAAGTTGCCCAGGCTGCTCTTAAACTTGGAATCTACCTGCTTCAGCCTTTCAGAGTGCTGTAATTACAGGGACATGCCACCACACCTGGCTTCATTTCTATTTTTATTTTGTTGTTGTTATTTTGGTTTTCTGTTTCTGAGACAGGGCCTTGGTATGTAGCTCAGGCTGCCTTGAACTTACTCTGTAGCCTGGGTTGGCCTCTTAACTCACCATGATCCTCCTGCCTCTGCCTCCCAAGTGCTTGGATCACAGGCATGTGCCACCACGCCCAGCTTTTCATTTCTGTGTTAAAGCCCATTGTGGTTTGATTTCACAAAGTGCCACAAACACAGGGAGTTGCCTGAGAACCCATCTTTCCATGGCCTCAGAAAGTCTGCATAAACCTGGTATTGTACCCACACCTGTAATCCCAGCACCTGCTAGGCTGAGGCCAGAGGATCACAAATTCAAGGCCAGCCTAGAATTCAGCAAGGCCCTTTCTGAAAAACAAAAAAACTTTTCATGAAACTTAACAAATTTACATTGCTCTTGGAAGTCTTGTTTTCAGTTGAGTGATTGTCTTTAAAACTCTTTTTTTTTCTGTTTTTTTCAGGTTTGTTTAAAGAGAAAAACCCATACGAGAAGTTTTAAACAACTTGTGTGTTCTTCAGACAGATCAGGCAGCCCTGGAGCTTCCCAGAGGGACATTGTACTCTTGCTGGCCTTGGCCCGGATGAGTGACCAGGCCAACCAGGATCTGCCCCAAGGACAATCCTCTCTTCCTACAAACTGTGGCCTTCTGCTCCCTGCTGTCCGCTTTGCCCTTAATCACATGAGGCCTGATCTTGTGGGTCCACTGAAGGGGCTGGTGCTCCTGTACACCAGTTCTGAGCTGAGCCTGACACTCACGCCGCCCACTTCCTGTCCTCTCTGTCCACAGTGCTCAGCACAGGGCCTTGTCACTGTGTCACAGAGCTGGCTGACCACTGGCATCTTCCCAAACGTGGTGGGGTCCTCATGTTCCTTCCTTGGACTTTTCATGTGAGTCAGGTCGCTTTTGGGAGCCAGTGCCCCAGCATGCAGAGTGGTATGGATTTACCTCCCGACCCAAGTACATTGTGTAGCACTGAAGACAGAGTCATCTGAAATCGTTTTGCAGATCTTGGAACATCTCCAAAATGATTTCACCAAAAAATGTTCTTTAGGTAACTAAAGTTCAGGCTCCCTTGGATGGCATTTTCATTCATGTCTTTGGTGGCCATGAAATCTGTTTCCCATGGCAGCTAAGATGCAGCTCAGACGTCCTGGTCCTGCCCGGCAGCATGAGGAAAGAGTGTGCTTCCTTGTCTCAGCAGCCCACCTGCCAGCTCTCTGGGATCCTGGGGTCGGCAGGTCCACCCCAAGGAAGAAGGGCAGTGCTCCACATGGCCAAAGGGGGCAGGCGTGTCCCCAAGACCCCGTGCCAAGGTGCTCGAGGTGCTCCTGGGCCTTGGGTTCCCCAGCAGGACCCAGCATCTGTGATCAGTCCACAGTGTGCATCTCCTTATGATGGAAACACTGCATGTGTGGTGGTCACAGGTGGTGTGCTGCAGAGTGGCTGTGCCTTCAGGGATGTTGGAAAATAGTCCCAGCACCAGTCCTGCGTGGGAAATTGGCTGGACAGTTGAGGGAACAGGGTTCCCTGTGTGACCACACCACCCTCGTCTGCCCTAGGGTCTCCCGTCCCTGCCCCGGGATGGGTCCAGACTGCCACAACCCTCCACCAAATCCTGTTCCATGACTTGCTGGGCACGTGTTTATAATTTAAAGTATTCTAGAACATTCCTAAGTATTTTCTAGTAGCCAGACTTCTGCCTTCTTTTTCTCGAAAGGAACTTTAATAGACTAACAAACTTTGTGTTAACGCAGCAGCACCCCTGTGAATTCACTCTGTCTGATTCAGGTTTCCGAGCCGAGGTTGAGCTGCCGGTTGCTAAGTAGAGTGCCTTTAATCCGAGCAGCACAGGGCCCCGGGACACAAGGTCGGCCCTGGTCCGCTGCCCTGCTTGGAACTGGCAGCGCAGAGCTGCGCCCTCCAGGAGAATAGCAAGCCCCAGTGCCTTACTTGTAATCCATTCCCAATAAAGCAGTGTTACACCTGTGATTTGCAGTGTGTTCCCTGGGCCCCATCTCCACAGGAAGGGCCTGGGCTGTTCTAGTTCTGCACCTGGCCTGCTGGAGCAGCCTGGCCCACAGGTGTAGTCCTGGCCAGCTGGTCCCTCAAGTGCCCACTGCCTGGGGCTGCCCTTCTCTGGTGGTTCCCCCCTGTGGTGCTGGGCATGAAAAGTGGCAGTCTTGTCCTGGCGCCAGGGGCTGGGCTCCAAGAGCAGTGTGGCTGGAAACGGGGACCTTGCCATGCCCTCCTGAGAGCCACAGCTCCAGACCTGGGGAGCCAGGGGCACAGGTGGCAGAGGTGGGTGTGGGTGGTGGTGACATTTGGGTAGAGAGTCCCCTTAGCAGGCTCAGTGGCTATGTTAGAGCCACACTTGAAGTGGCCTCCTCTGGGCAGAACAGGACTTACAGCAGCCAGGCCTGCCTTCAGGAGGGCAGTGATGGTCTCTTTGTGACCTGGCAGTGCCCACAAGAACGCTGTGGCACACAGGTGGGGAAGGAAACCCTATGGAGCCCCAGCTGCAGGTGGTGCCGGCTAGCCCTGCCCTGGCAGCAGCGCTCAGGAAGGTGGGTCCCATTTGCCAGCTGCAGGGTTGCAGCCCCATGCTGCGCCTCCCCTGTGCCCCCAGCTGTGGGTCTGCTGGCCCGCAGGGTCAGGTCCACCCCCAGCAGCTGGCCCTGGGGAAGCAGTGCTGGCACAGCAGTGGAGTTGCGGCCTTGTGGGAAGTGGCCGGGGCCTGGGTCCTCAGTGTTGGACCCAGCACCAGCCAAGTGAGCTGTCTAGAAGCCGGGAGGATGCCTCTAGTGGGAATGGCCACCCTGTGTGGGGGAGGTGGTAGCAGCAAAGTGATGTGTGGGGCAAAGCTGGTGCCTGCTGCCTCTTCAGCCTGCATGTCCAGCCTGAGGTAGGGACAGGGACACCTGAGTGTCAAACTGCGTCCCCTCTGCCCTGCCCTGCCCTTCACTTTAAAGAGATAAACTCAGCCCAGACCGCAACTGCTGCTACTCAGCCCAGACCACAACTGCTGCTTTGAGCTTGCTGCACTGCAAGACCTGACCTGTCCCCTGTGGGGCCCTCCTGCAAAGTGGCACAGGTGCCAGCAATCCCTGTCTTACAATGAGGGTTGGCTGTGGCCTTGCTGGGTGGTGCGGTGGCTTGGGGAGTAGGCATCTGCTGGAGGGGTCCTGGAGTGGGAAGCAGGGCCTCGAGCATGCCAGGCAAGTGCTGTACCCCTGAGCTATGCAGACAGGGTCTCCTGTAAGTTGCCTGAGCTGGCGTTGAATTTGGAATCATCCTGCTTCAGTCTCCTGCAGTGTCCTGGCCATTTTCTTGCCTCTATTGTCTGTTCCTTCAGCTCAGTCTCCAGAGAGCTGGGTAATGCCAGCGAGGGGAAGGGTCCTGTGGATGCTGAGCCACTACAGGAGAGCATGAGCTGGTCCCTGGAGGTGGCTGGTGAAGGAGCAGCCAGCCAGGGGGAGGCGGCAAGCCAATAGTTGTGCATGCTGGTGCTGGGCGCATTTGGCTAGAGCACCCTCTAGTCTGGGCTTAATTGTCCCAGGAGCCCCAGGCACTGGCCCTGGATCCTGCTGTGGCCCCAGGCATGGGGTTCAACCTCTGTCCCATCCCTTGTCCCTCCATCTCTTCCCAGCCTGTCCCACTCCTGCCTTGCACCTCACCTCCGGAACCACATCTACCTGGGGGCTCTGCTTTCTGGGGCCCACCCTGGGCCTCCACCCCAGAGCAGGCCGGACGGCGTCAGGGTGCTAGGAGTCTCTGGTGCACATCTCCAGGCGTGTCTGGAAGGGTGTGCAGATGGCATTGGTGTTAGGATGGAAGGCTGAGCAGAGCAGGTAGCTGTCACCAGCATGAGGTCATTCCCCATTGAGGCCTGGGCACTGTACACAGCCGGTTGGCTGCACTGTGAACTTGCTGGGCTGTGTTGTTCAGGAGTTTTGAGTCTATGCTCATGAGGTGAGCACATCTGGTTTTTGTGCTGAGTTTGTGCTGGAATGACTATTAACTTCCATGGCAACCGCAATGGAAAAGGTTTGGTGGAAGATCTTCCGTTTATTTATTTCACTTTGGCTTTTGAGACAGTCTCACTAGGTAGTCCTGGCTGTCTTCAGACTTGTAGCAGTCCTCCTGCTTCAGCCTCCTAGATACTAGGATAGTACGCACTACTACACCGAGTAGTTTTATTTATTTTGGGGGGGGTCAAGACAAGATCTGTGAAAGGGCTGGAGGTGATGTCCTTTTTAAGGAGCTAGGTATTTTAGTACTACAGCTTTTTCCATGATTGCTGGTCTGTTGTGCTATCTAGGTTGTTTGTTTTTGTTTTTGTTCTGAGGATTGAACCTTATGAATGTAAGCAAGTGCTCTACCAACAATGAACACATCCCCAGCTCTTTACCAGATTTTATTTGGAGACAGGGTCTTGGTAAGTTGCCCGGGCTGGTGTCAACTTGCAACCCTTTGCCTCCTGAGTGCTGGGGTCATCGCCTTGGTCTTGGTTTCAAGCCTTTTTTTTCTTTTTTCTTTTTTTTTTTTCGGAAACAGGGTCTTGCTATTCGTCTAGGCTAGCCTTACACGTATGACATACCCCAGCCTCCCCAGGGATCCTCCTGCCTCAGCTTCCCAAATGCTGAAATTATAGGCATTCACCACCATGCCTGGCTGCATTGAAACAAATATTAACAAAGTTAAAAACATTTCATCTCTAGTTCTGTGGATTTTTGCAGCTTTTTGCTTTTTTTTTTTTTTTTTTCTCTTTTTGAGACAGGGTCTCACTATGCAGTTCAGGCTGGCCTTGAGCTCACTTTGTAGCCCAGGCTGGTCTCAAAATCACAATGATCCTCCTGCCTCAGCCTCCCGAGTGCTGGGATTACAGGCATGAGCCACCACGCCCAGCTGCTTTCTGCATTTCTTATGATTATAATCTTTTCTGTTTTTGGCAGTGCCTTAGAGTGAAGCCAGAGCCTTTTACACCGAGCTGTATCCCCAGCCCATGTGTTATTTTGAGACAGGAGCTCACCAACTTGTCCAGGCTGCGTGGAAACTCGGACCTCCTGCCTTGCTTCAGTGCTGGCTTGGATGGCAGGGTTCTGGCCTCGCAGGAGTAGAACGTGTGTCCATGGATGGAGTCTGTTTTCTTTTTCTCTCCCAGGTAGCAGTGGTGCCCTGGGTCCCTTCCCACACTGGCCTGGCTGGGCCCAGGGGCTGTGGTAGACGTGAGACTGCGTGACTGGAGCCTGTGCCCTGGGGCCTTACCCTGCTCCTCCTCCTGTCCCACTGAGCCCTGAGTGCTGACAGCCTGCACGGCTCAGCCCCTGGGGCCACGCCACGGGGTTTGGTCCACGCTGGTGTTCAGGAAACATGCACACAGATAAAAAGCTGGTGTGAAAAAAAAAAGCTGCTGTGAGATACCAACTTTAGAGAGTTCATTATTCAGCAAAGTACTCAGTGCATTATCAGGATTTATTCGGTATACAAAAATAACCATATATTTATATACTAACAAGAAAGGAACAAAGAGGCGAGGCAGGAGAGGAGGGAAGGAAAGGGGCCAGGCATGGTGGTGGCACATACCTATAATCTGACCACCTGGGAGGCTGAGGCAGGAGAATCTCAAGTTCAATCTCAGCCTGGACAACTTTAGCAAGATCCTGTCTTAATGACTGAGAGGTCGCTTGATATGAAGACCCTGTGCTCAGTGTCCACCTTCTCTCTCCGTCTGTCTCACAGGAAAATGAAGTTCTAAAATAGCTTTTTTTTGTCTTTTTGAGACAGGGTCTTCTCTATGGCAGTTCTCTAGGTAGTCCAGGCTGTCTTCAGACTTGTAGCAGTCCTCCTGCTTCAGCCTCCTAGATACTAAGATTGTACGCACTACTACACCGAGTAGTTTTATTTATTGTAGTTGGTATCTCACAGCAGCTTTTTTTTTTTTTTTTTTTTCACAGCAGCTCAAGTCTTCTCTTGAGCTCACTTTATAGCCCAGGCTGGTGTTGAACTCACAACGAACCTCCTGCCTCAGCCTCCCAAGTGCTGGGATTACAGGCCTGAGCCACCATGCCCAGCTAAAAATAGCATTTGTAATACATAAAACACAGTGATAAAGGTAGTAATATAAACATTACTGAGGGAAATTAAGATCTAAATACAACATTCATGGATCTGATGACCTGGTATTTTTTTCAAATCTAATAGCACATTTTACTGTGGCCATAAGGTTTGCCATCTTATGGGTCCCATAAGGTTTGCCCTCTTTGTCCCTGTCCAGCATGTGCCTATGCAGCTGTTGACTCCACTAACAAGAACCTGATGTCTGACAAAACAGAAACTAATCCCTCAGCGTCCCCCAGCCCCTACTGGCAGCCACCCTCTGGCCTAACATAAACAGAAGCTAGTAACTATGTTTTGTTTGCTTTGTTGTTTTGGTGAGGTACTGGGGTTTGAACCCAGGACCTTCCCACTGAGCTACATTTAAATTTTGAGGGCAGCCACTGGGGAGACTGAGGTGGGAGGATTGCAGTTCCTGGCCAACCTGGACAACTGTAGAGGCCCTGTCTCAAAAATAAAAGCGGTTGAAGATGGAGAATCCTCTCTTTATTCATGAAGGGGGACTCGTGTTGAACAAGATGAGTTGAGTCAGGTGTTCGAGGATGCTTTCAAAGTACTGAGGTCCGTCTCCAGCCTGCCCCAGACTGCAAGAGCAGCCCAGGGCTCCTTAGTTACTGCCTTGTGGTCTACGCTAATCCCAGCTGCTACAGTGCTGCCCACAGAGGAGCCGTCTACAGCCAGAGGTCTGTTCTCAGACTCTCAGACTCGCTGAGTGGCCAAGCTGCCAAGGCTGGTCTGAAACCCATGATCCTCCTGCTCAGCCACCCAGAGTGCCAAGATTGCAGAGCAGTGCTGCGACTTCAGTTTGAGGGAGATGGATAATCACCAGTCTGTGGAATCTGACTGGGTATCATTTGGTCCTGCCTGTGATTTTC